CACATAAAACCTGCAGACGTCTAATCAGCCACATAACTGAAAATAACTACCTTTAATTAACACATAGTACTGCGTCAAATTGTACAAGTTAAAATCTAAGTAACTGTTTGATAAATTTAGCAAAATATTTCCCATCTGAAGTGTAGTGGAGCGCAGATATAAAGCAGCATAAATTAGAAAAAGTCAAATGAAACTGTACTTGTAGGTGACACATATGATATAAGATCAAATCAGTGCAGCAAGAGAAATGATCTTTTGAGCTGTTAAAACAAATTACATCCTCAAAATATCCATCTGTACACTCACACAGTTCAGCAAAATGATAAGACTTGTGTGTCTGTATTTGTTTTGATTAATCAACATCTGTAACAGAGCTGAGTTGAGCATCAAAAAAGGTTAATCCACATGGAGGTTTATAATCATTGAACACGTGTTTGGAGCCAACGTCGATGAATCAGCACATACAGTCTGCCCTCTCCAACGCTGTCTAATTATTAAAGCAAAGATTAACGGTACGTATGACGTTCACTTCACATGTCAGCTGCAGTACTGGAGGCTCTACCTGCTGTCGCTGGTGTTGGGGATCGGAGGGTCGTTTCAATACGGGATCCAAGTTTCTCTCATCGCTTCTCCAGCAGTGGTAAGACCTCACTCAGTCGCAGTTGCATCAAATTGCACAATATCTAAATCTCTACCTGCAAGTATAGGCTCTTGAAATCTTCACAAACTTTACTTTTTCATAAACCTTCCTTTAGTTTTATTTAAAGTTTCATTTTGACACCACTTGACGGGTATTTTAAATTAATTAATCTTTATTGTAAAATATGCAGCGAAGAACGTCTGAAGGCCACAATTCTTTGCATCTCACTCTGTAATGTGAAAGCCGGAGCTTCGTTGAGCACAGAAACAAAGGAAAGCAGTGAAAGGTGTCAGAGACTAAATGAAAAGGGCAAGGCAACGACGCTTTTATTTGGCACATTTCGTGCACAGGCGAGAAGTCAAAGTGCTTTTCATGAATATTTGAAAAAAAGAGAGAGAAAAATGTTTCATATTCAAATAGAAGGACACGAGTCAAATTGAAATTCAATTTATAAAGCTGAATAACACAAATGACAAGAGGTTTTAGAAGCTCTCCAGCAAACTGCATCCTGTATTATTAGACCTCTGACACACAGAACTAAACAGAGAATCACAATCTATGCAAAATACCAATGTGAAGATCAAAAGTATGGAATGATAACATGAGTTTTATTGGTTAATAGGTCGTTTTTTGACCTGCTTTGGGGTGAAGGTTTGCCTCCATCACATGTCCTTTGACCTTTCTGACTCTCCTGCAGCACGTTCAGAGTTTTGTGAACTACACATGGATGTTGAGGTACGACGCTCCAGTGGACGAGTCCACCAACCAGCTCATCTGGTCCTTCATCGTGGCGGTGTTGAGTCTGGGTGCCTGGGCTGGAGCCATCCACAGCGGCAGCCTCCCGGTCACTTACGGCCGGTAAGAAGGACAAACACACTCCTGCCGTTAGCTGCTTATTCATAGGAAATAATCAACAACAACTTGCTGACATCTCTGGTTTTCAGAACCTGATGATTGTTTGCTTCAGAGACAAAAGAACAATTAAAACAATCAGAAAAAAAAGACTTTACTGTTCATCTGGTGCTGCAAGGTGGAGCAGTTGGTAGCACTGTTGCCTCGCAGCAAGAAGGTCACCGGTTTGCATCCCGGTGAGGACACCCGGGATCTTTCTGTGTGGAGTCTCCATGTTCTCCCCGTGCAGCGTGGGTTCTCTCTGGGTTCTCCAGCTTCCTCCCACAGTCCAGAAACATGTTGAGGTTAATTGGTGATTCTAGATTGTCCGTAGGTGTGAATGTGAGTGTTCTTGGTTGTCTGTCTCTAAGTGTAGCCCTGTGATAGACTGGTTACCTGTCCAGGTGAACCTGCCTTCACCCTGAGTCAGCTGGGATAGACTCCAGCCCCCCATGACCCTAGTGAGGATTAAGGTGTATAGATAATGGATGGATGGATGTTCACCTGGTTAGCCTCATTTACAAGCATTTTCACACGGCACACAGGGACAGAATCAAGTGATTTTTTCTGCTACTTAACATCCGATTAGCCACAATATTAAAATCACCAACAAATTCCAGCTGCAGTTGAATCAACAGAAGCAGAACAGGTCTGATTTTACAAACAACTTTTCAGTATCCCAGGAAATACTGTTTCCCACAAATGTGTGGAGTTTAGAATTGTTTCTCTGCATGAAAATCTCGTTTTCTCTGGTTCATCAAACACAAATGTATTCATCAGAGCAGTTTGTTTGTTGTTGTCTGTTGTTTGTTTCACAAGTAATGGAAACCAGAAATGCATTATTTTAACATCATGACTTAAATAAGCGCCACCACATACATAACCTATAAGGTTCTTCAAAAAGCCCAGAGGGAACTTTGTAGGAATAATAAAGAGTGGAAACAGCACACCAGGTTTTGTCAGGCAACAAAAGTTCAGATTCCAGCATCTGGTCTGGACAAAGTCTGACACAGAATCCACGGTACATCTGCAGTTTGACATTTTCACTTTTCAGTTTATGCGCAGATTCAACAAACAAAATAAAACATGTTAAGCAGTGACCTTCTGAAGTTCCCTGAATACTACCAGACAAACCTTTCAGTGGTAGAAATAAATGTGTTTCATCTCAATGTCAAACTATTTCTTTAGCAGAGGAAGATGTCACATGTTGGAGGTACAACACAACATGCAAACATTCACGGGAGCTGCTCATAATCGTTGGTGTTTCTTCTGATTTTGCAGGAAAAAAGCTCTCCTGATCAACAACGTGGTGGCGATCGTCGCTGCCTTGCTCATGGTCTTCAGCCGCATGGCCAAGTCTTTTGAGATGATCTTGTTGGGCAGGTTTCTGTACGGATACAACGTCGGTATGTTGTGCTGATGTGTGTTTTCCTTTGAATCTGTTTTTTCTTTCCTCTCTTCATCTTGTGCTTCTCTGCAGGCCTCGGCCTCAGCGTTCACCTCATGTACCTCGGGGAGAGCTCTCCAAAGAAGCTCAGAGGCTTCATGACCCTCACCAGCTCAATCTTCATCGGGTTTGGGAAAGTCATGGGTCAGATAATTGGCATCAAGTAAGAACTGAAAGCTCACACTTTAAAGCACAAGTTGACTAATAACTAAAACAGAAAAACATCAGTGAAGACAAACGAAGCAGAAAAACTCAGAAAGATCAAAGTATGACACCTTGTTCCTAGTTAATGAGACCAAATAGCACAAAACGATCCAGCCAGGGCAAGATTTTATTCATGTTTTTGTCATTATCAACACATTCCTTGTTGTTTCATCTTTTTTCTAACTCGTCTTTGTGCTCTGCTCAGGGAGATAATGGGCACCGAGGAGATGTGGCCGTATCTCTTAGCTGTTAGTGGGATTCCTGCCGTGCTGCAGTTTGTGACGCTGCTTTTCTTCCCCGAGGCCCCTCGATACCTTTACATCGATAAAGGAGACACTGAGGGCAGCAAAAAAGGTGAGTGGATGCAGCAGACTCACCACCGGAGTGTATAAATAACATGTTATGGGCGTCTTAACAAGGTAGAGATAATAGATGTGCATCAGAGGGGGCTTTAAGGGCGTTTCTGAATGCATCCTTCTAGACTTCTTCCACCACTGAATTTGTATGTTTTATCCAGATATGGCTGGTTGAGCATCATCATGTGTTTGTCTGTAATTAATTTCTGTACGTGTCTGGCAGCCTTGGAGTGGCTGTGGCAGGAGGACAACCTGAAGATGGAGATGGACGACATGCAGAAAGAGAGAGAGACCACACAGGGCGAGAAGGCCAAGACCGTGAAGGATGTCCTCACCTCTCGCTGCGTCCGATGGCAGCTGCTGACTCTGGCCATCCCCTGCGCTGGTGTTCAGTTCTGCGGCATCAACGCTGTACGTTTGTTTCATATTTCTTCTTTCTCTCTTTCACGCTGCTTGACGGCCTCTCGTCTCGTTCCAGCTGTACTTCTACGCCTTTGACATCTTCCGGGAGTCGGGAGTGCCGGAGGACCAGATGCATTATTTGGCCATTGGCATTGGAGCGACAGAGCTCATCACCATAACGCTGTGTGTAAGTGTCTGTAAAAGGTGGCAGGGATTGGACAGAAAACACAGTTTATGGACCTTTCCTACGCTTTCAATCTGACATGTGGGAGAAACAATACTCACTGTACAGTTTGCTGAGGATGCTGAGAAGTAAATAGGCACAGAAAAGACTGCAGAGGAACAACATGAAGATATAGGATGGAACTTTAAATGATTCCAGATTCAGAAAAGGCTAGATGTGCAGCATCTAACTGGCATGATTCTTAATCTCTCCATGTCAGTCCTTCTTGATAGATCGCGCCGGCAGGAAGAAGCTGATGGGCTATGGCTATCTCCTGATGGGTGTCACCATGTGTGTTCTTACCATCATGCTGTCCATTAAGGTACATACAGCCACACACTCCTCCTCGCTGTCCTGTGCAGGATGAATATCAACGCCTCTCTTTCTCTACAGGATCTGAATTCATGGATCCCGTATGTGAACATCGGCCTGATCTTTTGTGTCATTTGCATCTATGGGCTTGGACCTTGTGAGTGACTCATACCATGACTGGATGGGGTTTTATTGTGTCGATGGCTTCCTAATGCTCAAATCTTCCTTTAGCTGGAGTGTCCATGGCTCTCCCCGCTGACCTCTTCCTACAAGCCTGGCGTCCTTCCGCCTTTGTCATCAGCGGGACCATCAACTGGCTCGGCATGTTCCTCGTGGGCATGTTGTTCGGCTACGTGGTGGTAAGACGCCATGTTCTGTGTCTCCATCTTTATAACTATGTCACCCAGCTGTTTGTTTAACACAAAATGTTCTCCACCAGGAGGGACTCGGACAGTTCTGCTTCCTGATTTTTGTGGCGTATTCCTTCTTCAGTTCAGCGTTTATGCTTTATTTTGTCCCGGAGACCAAAGGAAAGACGATGGTGGAGATCATGGAGGACTTCAACAAGCTGAATTACAAAACCAGGGTGGCTGATGTGGAAGAGACTGATGATGACTATGCAACTAAATTCTAAATTATTGTTTTTTTTTTACTTCACATATTTCTTTTCCATTGTTTGCGTGTTATTTATTACTTTTAGCAAAATTCTGAAATCAGATCATGTGTCCAAAGTGCTCCGACTGAGAATATTGATCAGTAAAATGTTTTACAACAGCATCATTTATCTATTTTTTATTAATGTTTAAGTAGTTCAAGTCCAGTGGAAACCTTTAAATGGTACAAAGGTTTAGCAGAAAACTGTCCAAGATGACCACAAATGGAAAAATGGAAAGTCAATCATGGAAACAATTTCTACAGGTTTTCCAGCTTCTGGGGATTTTAGACAAAGTCTCTGTGTGCTGCATTATAAGGACAATAACATGGTATCATAGGTTAGAAAAAGGAAAATAACAGAGGAAGTTGGTGACAATGATCCAAAGAAAGAACAACACAGTGGACTTCACATGATAGAAGATTAACGGAGTCTAGCTTTTTTTTTTTTAACCCTCATTGAGCTGATTTGGGAAGAACTGGATGAATTTTCAAATCAATGTTTAATTTCCTTTTGCAAAAATACCAGAGAATATCTGCAAGCTGCAAGATTCTCTTTTTCCTAGAAATACATAAATAAATGTCTTTATTATTTATTCGTTCAATGCATTCTAGTAAACCGAGATGATGTAAATATGAGCAACAACTGGAAAAATGTTTGATCTTATGTTCAAAAATAAAACATGTCATTACATCTGAATACCGTTTCTGGTTCTATGATTGTTCTCCTAACATGTTCAAAATAAATAAAGTGTTTTTAGCAAACTGTTCTCTGGTTGTTTTCTTAGCAATAAAGGCTCAAGGTTTCCCTTTAGATCTTTTAATTTGAAACTCCAACCACAGCACCAGACAGCAGAGTTTTATCTCCTCATTATTTTAACCAACATGAAGTAAAGAAATGAAGCATATCAACTGATGTACTGATGGTTTTTGGGTTTTTTTGGACTATTAGATCAAGCAGATATCCTGCTTGCCTGGTTGTTATAAGACAGTGTTTAAATTCTTTGGAAATGTGTGCATACGATTGCACAATATCCCCCTTTATACAATTCTTTATTCCACTATTCCACTATTTTGACAGAAGAAGGTACCTTTCAAAGAGAATAGAAAAGGAGGATCAATGAGAGAATGTACAATAGATATCCTACAACTGATATCACAAACAAAATGATACTAAAATCTGCGTACATGTGTGTTGTATTTTAGTTTTCACAAACATAAATGGTGGTTTCAGAATTCCCAAGACTAAACAACATGAAGCTGCGCCTTAAATCTCACACAAAATGTTTAATTTCTTGATTCTTCCCTCTAGGTGTTAGAATTTAAAGAGTAAAGATAAAGAGAAGAAGCTTATTTGTGTCCGTTTCTCTTCTTGGACATACCTTAAATTCCGTCATTAGTGTTATAGTTAGTATTCGGCCTAATTGGGCAGCAGTTGAACACGTAATGAGTTAAATATATTTGATGCTTTCAGATCCTCACCGGCAAGGCAGTTTCCACGGCAACCTGCTTTTTTTATTTAACCGTTGCGTGACGTCGGAGCAGTGACCACTAGTCACTGTTACTGTTCTGTCACCAAACAGCGAGATAGAAGTGAAACGGTGGAGAATCGTAGGTTTTAGACAGAACCTGGTGCCATGACTCGATAAAGACGACGAGCGATCAGTGACGGTGGGTTTTAGTTTTGGTCCTGCTGTTGCTTCTGCAGACCGTTTGAACCACATCATTAGCAGCAGCTCCTCATTAACCGTTAACACAAATGATGAAGCTGTATCACTCTTATCCCCCTATTTATTTTTTTAGAAGAAGTGCCATTTTTCAGCATTGTACATAAGTGAGAAGTGAATATGTGGGTTTAATGGACACTGAATGCTTCAGAACACATCAGGCATCCATAAAAAAACAATCTGGTCCTCTGGAAAAGTCAATAAAGCTGCATCCACTCCCATCACCGCTATAACAACACTCAGTGAGTTTATAGGAAGAACGTGTCCGCAAAGTTCTTCACAAATGTGTGCTCGTAATGGGAGTGTTTGAATGTAGCATGGCTGTCAGAAGTGGAGCGAGGGGTGTTGTTGTGGAAGTTCTGGAAGAGGTTGATGTAGGATGAGGAACCCAACACAGAGAGACACACAGCAGAGACTCAGATGGTTGAAATAAGGTTTACTGATGCATCAGGAGAAGTGACACTAACAGAGCAGCAGGAATGCCAGCATCAGTTCTGAGGACTTACACCCTCCTTCGGTGGACGCCACATGCAGATTTATGGGTGAGAGGCAAACAAAGATAGTCCGGCGCCTTGGTGTAATCTGGCCTTGAGAGGTGCAGGGAGTGTTTGCCTGTCCTCCTACAATAGATCTACATGAGGTCAAGAATCTACAGAAGATTTGCAGATTCGTGTACATCTGCTAGAAATAGGACTTTTACATGAAGGAGGTCAATCAGAGGAGCAAAGGGGAAAAGTTCAGCACCATCTCTGGAAACTTAACTCCAAGAGAGGAAAGTAGTTTTTGCTTCACAGGTATCTGGCGCCCTGCCTTCACCTGAGTCATCTGGGTTAGACTCCAGCCCATCGTGACCCTAGTAGGGATTAAGCGGTGTATAGATAATGGATGGATGGATGGTATCTGGGGAATCTGTGGCTGATGATGCAGCCACGCTTCAGCACACGCCTGGTGTTTGGCCTCCCAAGAACATTTTGTAATTTAAAGCAAAATTTATACTAAAATGTTTTTGGTTCAGGAAACTGGACACTCTAAACGGCTTGTTGATGTGAATGAGTGACTTTATGTTTATGCATTCACCCTCCAGACTTTCCCAGAGAATTTCATCCGGGGGCTGGAGTCTATCCCAGCTGACTCAGGGTGAAGGCAGGTTCACCTGGACAGGTAACCAGTCTATCACAGGGCTACACTTAGAGACTCACTCACATTCACACCTACAGACAATTTAGAATCACCAATTAACCTCAACATGTTTTTGGACTGTGGGAGGAAGCCGGAGAACCCAGAGAGAACCCATGCTGCACGGGGAGAACATGGAGACTCTATGCAGAAAGATCCCAGGTGTCCTCACTGGGACGCGTACTGGCGACCTTCTTGCTGTGAGGCAACAGTGCTAACCACCGAGCCACCTTGCAGTCCTAAACAATGCATTGAAATATTTTTTTTTCTTTTACAAAGTTTCACAACCTACTATTATAAACAAAGCTGTTTGGAAATTTGATTTATGTCTGTTATTTCTCTCTCTCTATATATGTATATATATATATATATTTTATTTCTTGTGTGTTTTATTCCTTATTCTTTATTCATCTTATTATTATTGTTTCGGTGTGGAACAGGTGCACAATGCATTTCACTGCGCGTTGTACCATGTATAACTGTGTTTGTGACCAATAAAAGACCTTGAATCCTTGAAGCATTGTGGTGCTACAGTGATGCACCAGCTTACAAATCATCGTCTCCAGACACAAGGGAACACGCTTGCTGCAACTACATCATTTTTATGTGTTTCAGTGCAAAGAAATGCAAAAATTCCCATTAAAGCTAGAACTCATATTACAATATCTGTCAACAATAATCACACTGCTATAGACAGGTGACAAACTAAAGGAAATATCTTAACCATTGAATCCAGCAGTGAGGGGATCAGGTGGCTCTGTTAGGGGTCTATCATCAAACCACCGAATGACGGAGTAACTTTTGTACAACGATAAAGCAAACTGAAGAATCGATGCCTCATCAAGACACGTCATGTTGATTTCTTTCTGTAATTTGTCACCCGTCCTTGTCTACAAACACGCACATGGACTTCAGTGTCTACCGGTAATCATTGCAAGTCAAAAGTTAGGAGATTTTCAGTTGCAATTTATTCGGTGCTCATCTCTGTACCAAGAAGAGAGACGAGACTCAATAACAGAGTACAAAAACAAATATCTATAGAAAAGTAAGCTTATATTGAAATATGTCCAAAGACGTTATAACAAAACATGTAGCTCACATGTTTTAAGAGCAATCTTGTTGAGTACGATGATAAAATACCAAGTTAACATATTGTACATTTTGTGTTTTTATACAAAAGTGTCAATGCAAGTCACTCTGTACAATTCTTAACCTTTAGAAAAGAGGACCTTTTTTAATCCACTGCTGTGCACAATCAGTATTTGGAAGGCACTTTGCAACAGACCAAAAGCAGAAAGCAAAAAAAAAAAAACAACAAAACATTTAGGCCTAAATAATCATAATTATCTTTTGAGTACCGACACGAGCGAAACAAATCAGTGGAAAGGAAAAGAAAAAACAACAAAGGTTCATTATTTTCTTACAGCATCTTCCACTCGTCTTCAAATAATAATCAGAACAACACAACCCTTATTACCTTTTAAGGAGTAAATACTAGTGCAGAGTGGATCAAAAAAGGATTGGTCAGAGACGTGAGTCGTGCAGCTGGCAGTGTGAGCGCTACCAGAGCAGAGTGATAGTACAGTGAGCAGTGAAACACCTACTGCCACCAACCAGTGATCGACATTCAGTCCGCAGCTCGCTCGCATGCCAGAACATGCAGTTTTACACTTCAAATGGCCATAACTTAACATCCCTCCACATTAACAGACGAGAAAAACAAACCAAAAAAATCTTTATATGTACAGGACCACCACTGACAAACACTGATCATATTGGTTGGTTCATATATATTTATATATATTTATAGTGTGTATATGGAAGGTATATACACTTGTTACAATCACAATATAACCATAAATAATATAGGAATGTACTGAATTTAACAGACTAAATTACTCACAAATAATAATTAAAACAGAAAAGCAGGAAACACGGATCAAACACGGAAACAGACACATGAACACACACTCACACAGTCAGCCACTTCGCTCGTGGACTGAGCCCGATTTGCATCATGATTTACAACACAAACCCCCACCACCCACCCACCCACCAACCTAAGAGAAAACATGTTGATGTGTTGGTTCTGACAGGTCCATATGACACCACGTAATTAAAGCCTGGCTGCTTTGTACGATCACGACACTCCTGTGATTGTACGTATTCTCCTGCTTCGGTATATACAAGACGGATCAGGGGGACGACACGATCGCGAGAAGTCTCATCGTGATTTTAGCTGAAAGAATAAATAGAGCTGACATTAGTCGAACCTGCAACTATTTTGAAAATCGATTTAATCGTTTAGTTTGATTTCATTGAGGAAAAAAAAATGCAAAACGTGGTTGGATTTTAGCTAGTTTACAGCTTGGTTTTTTTACATGTGTTAGTATGCTGGATATCTTTGGGTTTTGGACTCTTGGTTAGGCAAATAAAGCAGGTAAAAAGCAGCACTAAACAGAATTACATTAAGATGAATTTAGTGCGGCAGAACCCCCCGTTTCTTTTTGATTTCGTTCACCAGTTTAACAAATGGCTTTAAGAGGAACTTTAAGATAAGAAACCAATCAACAGAAACTGACTCCTTCACAATAAGAAGTGGAGATTTTTAGGTAAGTGACTGTGAGGCTCCTGTTGCTGACATTTAAGGGAAGTGTTGAGCTGAATTTGGTGTTAACACGAGAGGGAATGTCTTGGATTGAACACATAGCGACCAACCACACACGGCACGAACAACTCTGAGAGGAGGAGGAGGAAGAACTGCAGGTGATGAAGGTAAAGAAACGACAGAGATTTGAAGAAACCTTGCGTGAAAGCTGTCCTACGTTTCGTCGGCCCAGAGGCTGGTGGATCAGGGTGTGAGTCCCACGTCTAACCTTCTGTCGCACAACACACAAAACACACATCTCCACTGAACATAATTTAGAGTGAAACACAAGCAAAGTGAGCAAATCACAAGATTTTTGTTGGACAATTTAAAAAAAAGAAAAACAACTGTACACACAACCGAGGGCATGAATAAGTTAATAAAATATAATCTACATTTCTCAAAATATATACTGAAAATATACCTGACCTTGGTCCCTGTTTCATGTACACAACTGATTTAACACCTTACAAACAACACTGTCCTTGTTGCGGGGAAGAGAAGCTCATTCCTGACAAGCTCGAGGCACTTTTCCAAACAGATTTTGCATCCAAATTCACCCAGACTTGTTAAAAAAAAAACCTCTTTTTTTCAAAAGCATCCCTGTACTTAACATAAACCATAATGACAAATTGTTTACTCTTAAGAATCTTAAGAACAATTCATTTTACAAGTGATCAAATTAAAAATACATACATTAAGGGCTTTTGAACTATTTAAAAAGTGCTTCTTAGCTATAATCCTGCCAGCAGTAATTTAATAAAGGTCCTTGACAGGTAACAGTGCTACTCTGTGTGATGCCAAAGAAAATCGCTCGTACAAAACGTGTCATAAAACGTGCCGTGAGCCTGTTAGGAATGATTCTTCTTCAGTAATAAACAGATTCGAAGACTATCAAAATTGAGGCCAATTTAAATCCCTGTCCCGAAGGAAAGAAAATCCACCTTGAAAGAAGAAGCAAAGAATGAAATAAATACAGAATTTAGCCCTCTTTGTTACTCTGAGGTAATGACATCTGTTTACAGCCTTGAGAGGAATGAGGAATATGAAGCGTTAAAAATCACTGCAGTGGCCAAGGGTCGATACGCCGAGTACAGCAGAGCAGTTAAAGTGGGCGAGAAGACGACAATTACTCGTTTTAAGGACACATAATTCATCTCACGTCAAGAAACATTTGTGCAGCTGAGGAAAGTCAAAGAAACCGCTGAAAGAAACGCAAAACTTCAACAGATCAGGATCAGTTAAAGGAAATAAAACCTTCATGTTATTCCTTTATAAAGAAAAATTCAAACACCAAACGCACCCTTTTCATACTTTGAAAAAGTAGAAAAAGTAGGAATTATATGGCAGTCTTTGACAAAAATATCGGATACACATTAAGCAACGTGACAAACAGAAAAAAGTAGTCTTGAGGCAAAGTTATTCCCAAATACAGAGCGTCTTCTGTGGGCAACCCGGCTTTGTCCTAAGAACAAGAGGCTTCGCTGCAGCTCCTGAAGCCTCTAGCGAAAATGTCACTTCCCTCCGAAGTCGATTCCACTTTGACCCGCCTCGGCATCCACCAGTGAAGAAGCGAAAGCAGACTGGACTATCTGAAAGCCGAAGGACTCGAGCAGAGACATGTTTTGCTGAGGGGAGAAGGGAGAGGTCAGGGAGGGCGCCATCTCACTTAAGCCGGACCCAGACAACCCCTGGGCCTTCTGGGCTTTGTGAACTCTGTGCTGGTGCTTGTTGAGGTAGGACTTGGTGCGGAAGGCTTGACCACAGATCCCGCAGTTAAACTTCTTCTCAGGGTCCGTCTTGGCTTTAGATCCCTCTGGAGACACCAGCGCCCCCGCAGAGGCTCCGTTACAGGCCACAGAGGGCATCTCGAGCTCCGGCCCGTCGGGTTTGTGTGGAGACTTGAGCTCGTCGCCGTTGGACAGCTCCCCGAATGAAGGATCCGATTCCTCTGATTCCAGATGTGGACATTTCCCAGCGTTTTCCTGCCCGTCTGAGGGAGATGCAGCGTGGATCGGTGGAGGGGAGTGAGGCAGAAAGAGAAAACAGGCGAAAATGGGAGACAAGACAGGCATGAATTAGGTACAATGGATTATAAGACAAGCTTTGTCAAAAACAACTTTAATCCAGTAGCTGGCTGGCACCTGCAAGAACATCAGATGTAAACTTCAAGCGTTAGGTGAGAAGGCACGAAGCACAACAACTGATTTAACACATCAATAACTAAATACAGTTTAAAAGAGACGATTCCTTCAACAATGTGGCTACAGCATTTAAATATACAATCATCTAGCTCAGTCCATTTGCCCAGTGTCCACTGAGAATGCTGCTGTGCCCATCCAACCAGTAGGCCATGCTTGCACCCCACCCACCCTCCAGCTGGACTGTACTGACCTGCGACAGGCCCATGGACGGGGAAGCCAGGCACCCCACCAGAGCGACACTCCCAGAAATATGGGGACCCACCTGGCTTCCCCATGAGCAGCTCAGGCTGCAAGCAGAGGGTTGAATGGCCAGGCTGGGGAAGAACTGGGTGTCCAGAGAGCCCATGAAAGCGACCCTCTGCCTCAGACGAGGTGAGAAGCAGCTGGCGACTGGCGCACAGGTCTACACAACACCCAGCCAGGGAGAAAGGAAGGGGGAGGGACAGACACAACAGGCCGGCGGAAACGATATGGACAGAATTACCTTCATTTCATCACTGGTGTTTGAAATGCTGTTTGTGAACACAGTATACCAGACAGGGATAGGAGCACAAATGAGTCCATGCTGAGTGAGTCGCATTACTAAAGCTGTCAGTGACGAATGAAATCACCTTTATTTTTATCCTGCTGCCTTTTAGCAAATCCCTGAACTTAGTGAATTTAAACAGTTGCTGAAATAAGCAGCTGAAGCAGTTTGTGAAAAACACTCTGGATGGGAGTCATCCACTTTTATCAGATAGAGTAAATAAACTGTTGTGCCATTTGAGTACATCCTTCATCTTTCATCTTCACAGGTGTAATCAAAAACATTAAAAACGACCACACTGAACATCGACGTAGCAAAGCAGGATGCTGCTGTTGCACATGCCGGCTCACGGAAACAGCTCAATGCTATTAGTCACATCTGTGCATCCCAGCTGAACATGCCAGAAAACCCTCGTGAGAGAAGCTCGTAGTGCATACAGCAAAGTCTACTACCACACACATGACCTGTTTGTCTGACAAATGGTGTCGCACTTAATGACGACGACAGTAAATATAGTAACAGTGCATATTTGTGTCTCTTTCCAAGGGTGCATCAGCTTTTTTCCACTTTTGCGTCTGATGAGCTCAGCTTTAATCAAAGCAACAACCAGATGATTGCCGCATCATTACGGTTCTAAACTCACGCTTAGCAGAGTTAATTCAAATTTTATCACTCACATGCGTCAGACTTCCTCAGCAGCACTTTGCTTGCTGGTGACAGTCAAACACAAATTCAAACTGATCCTTGTTCTGTAACAAGAAGTCTGCTAATTTAGTGACACACTTCAGCAGAACAAAGCTGGAGGAATCGTAAAAGCCAACTAAGTCCGTTAAAGGCCAATTCAAGGTTTCCGCACCGCACTGAGCGAGCAGACACACAGCTCTATTTATACTACATTAGCGCACTGTGTGCTATGCAGGCAGTTGCATTGTCACTAATATCAAACACAGATAAACACATGGGGCTCCTGAGGATGCTTCTGAAAGGCTGGTTGTGACTTCCCACTTTTACAAAATAAAGCAGATAGTTAGAGATGTAGCTGTAGCATGGTGTCAGAGCGATCAGTCCACAGGATTTCTGCAGAATTCAGGACTTCCCACACACACAGTCGGGGTGTTGCAGTGTGGACAATTCGCGTTGTGACAAATCTAGCACTGCAAACAGACGATGGTGTTCGCACGGACTGGATCTGGGTAGATATTTCCATCGCACGGACGTGAAAAGCATGAATTGGCCTTAATACTGTCCTAACTTTAGCAAAGCCAAATAAGGAAGGAGTAAAAGACAAATTTGCCTTAAGTGCAACATAAAAAAAAGCCCATAAATCAGAAAAGGTCTGCATAATGACACACGATGGACCCAACTAATCAGTTAAATAAAGTAATATTAAATAACACCCTGCTATGGTTACTGTAGCTTCTTTGCTTACGATGCACCCGATTTATTACAGGAGAAGAAAGACTTCAAGAAAAAGCTGTTTATGTAATTGGGTGACATTAGATGCCAACACTCAAGCAAAATACGCCTCCTTGCTACACTTCATGTCTTTGTCAGCATGCCTTCTACTGTGCTATCAAATTGTTTTAGCAATATTTATATCCTACCTCATGTATCAGTAAATGACAAATAATCATCAGAGGAAAGCATTTTAGTCGTTATTATTTGTGGCGTATAGTTCACTGTCTCTATGCTACCGTTTCTCCTGCAGAAATGGCACAACTACAAAAGTTTCAATGAATCCAGGGCAAATGGAGCACACATCAGGACGATCATGCAACACTGTGCATAGCTGAACAACTGCTGATGGACCAGCCAAGCAGATACCCATACGGCCATGGCCATGCTGGACAGACACACACACACACACGAACAAAAGCAAAAGTGCTCCAGATTCTCACACAGTCATAAACAAAACCTGTCGAGACAACTTATACGTCCTTTATCACTGCATGTGGCGGTAGGACCTCGAAGGCTGGTGACATTTTTTGCAATTTTCTAGTTAAATCAAGATCTAAGTATTCACTTTAAGCAACAACATAATGTTTAGTAGCATAGATGCAAATAGCATCTGGAGTCTTTACTACTATCAACTACTAATAAAGTCATGATTTCAGCTATAATTTCAGTCCAGTAGAAACTAATAAACTAATTGTTTGCCTTCTGATTTCCATTTGTTCTATAGCAACAGGTGCACTGCTCTGAGGTACAGCAGCTGCCTGCAGTCACTTCCTCAATCCTGACCTTCGACATGAGCTGGTGAAACTGCTGTGACGACGCTGGTGTTGCCGACACTGTTCATGTAGAAATCTACTGAGTGAAACTGTCCAACCGCCTGATCACGTGCTACTTAATCTGTAGTGTACAATAATCATGTTGTAACAGTTAGAGAATAACTACAGAAAACGTCCTCACAGAGGTGCGCAACACTTGGCAGATGAAGTGTCAATAGTAAATGTTTGAGCAAAGCGCCTGGAAGCGGGTACTGATGTATGCTTGTGTTTAACCATACACAGAGATGCAGCGGCATGTTTCTCCAAAAAAGCAGCAGAGCAAATGAAAGCCAGAAACATGAAAGTTTGGGATGGGGCGGGCGGCTGCTTGCCTTCCACTGAGCACTGGCGTCCCATGTGGTAAGGGGTGCCGTTGTGCATCTGCAGCTCCCCCCTTGGCTCAGGGAAGGTGTGCATTGTGGCAGAGGGGGGCAGTGGCGAGCCATGGTGTGTCTTTATATGCACCTTAAGGTAGGACGCAGTGGAGAAACCTGGGACCAGAAGAACAAAGAACAAGGCAGTTGCTTGACACACTCAAAGCCTTGGCATCGAGAGGGGCGTCCTGAAACAGAGACAGGCTACTCGACGTTGATGGTCCAATTCCATGACTGGTCTGACTAGAATAACTGGACATCTTATCGTGAAGAGAAAAAGGTTTGATTAATGTCTAACATTTACAATAGTGAACCTGAGGTCTAAGGCTAAACAGTGCTTATTGGACTGTTTAAATAAACCTCAAATGAAGGAAAAAAAAGAATCATAAAGTGAAAGCAAGAGCTCAGCTGTGAGGTAATGCTGCTGTCGTCATAACGGTTGATTGCATTGCTGGTTCATGTGATGCACACTGGCTTAAAAAGATCTTCCCTCGTACCCCGACCATCACATGCTTGAAAGAGATTTTCTTCTGTGCATCAGAAATAATCTGAAATTACTGAAAATAATTAATATTGTCCGATAAAATATCTTGAAGATATGTATCATGAATTACTTTGTGTGCGTGTGGAGCCAGAAGAAAGTGAGCCGGCCCAGACAGAGGAGTCTAACAGACGTGATGGTCACCGATTTGTCCTGAATGTTCTCTGTGGGCTGAAAACACGCAAAAGCCAGAAAACCTTTTCAACCCGTCGCCAAAACTTTCAGTACAAGGTAATGCCCTATTTTAATCATGTCAAATCCAATAGGTGCACTACCTCATGATCAAACAACAAACAATCCCTGGAATGAACCAAGTATTTACACAACCTCCCAGTGCACGTGGCGGGACAGTGGACTCAGGCTCCACAGTCACTGCAACGCGAGGTAATGTGGCGGCAGAGGGGCTTTGTGATGTAACGTTACATCTTAAAACTGAAACGGATCTTTGCGCTTGCACATATCTAATTGGTCGACACTCTCAATTGCCAGACGACACTGTTCAACTTTAGCCCACACGACAGTCGCCGTGACCGTGTCAGGCCGACTTTTCACAGGAATTACCTTTGTTGCAAATGCCACAGTAGTTATGAGTTCCTTCACTGTGTTTCTTGAGGTGGTCCGTCATGTAGGCAGCTCGCAGGAACTTGCCACAGACTTTGCAGGGGATTTTGTCCTCGTGGCATGCAAGGTGTGACCGGAGGCGATCTCTTGTAGCAAAAGAGGCATTACAAATCTGAAACGCAGAAATCAACAAGGTGAAACTTCTCATCGCTGTTTAAAACAATCATTATATGTGTGTTTTTTAACATAAATAAAGCCTGAATGTTACCTGGCACTTGTGGGGTCTCTCTGTTGTGTGTACTTGTTTGATATGTCCATTCAGGTGGTCTGGTCTGGAGAGAAAAGCAGCAAAGATAAGTGAATTGTCCACGTAGGAATATGACTTTTCTTGCATTCCTCATTAAACCGTTTGGCGTGCAGGTGTCAAATAGTAGTGATGGTTATTGACTGAACAACACCAGCAATAAATAACAAAAGCATGTGCTGGTCCAGTGGTTGTCTCGGCCTTCCTGCACAACTGAACACGCACAATAACAACCTGTAACGTGACTATGCACCTCGTTGATCACGTCTTTGTGAAGGCAGAATTACTCTCACGTCAATTTATTAGATACATTTTAATTGCAGTCAGTATCTACCTTACAGCCGAGTTTGATCGGACAGTAAAATGCAGCTACCCTTAACACAAATCTCTGCCAGGGACACTGACAAAATGATAATCTCTTTTCACAGATAGCTAATGCATTGACGTGGGAAAGGAGAAGAAAATATAAAACAATAAACCAGAATGACAATCATACAGTAACGGCAATGTAAAAATCTTGTTGTGATCAGTACACCGGGGAATTAGCATAGTTAGATGAAAAGTGATATTTAAAAATGTCCCTTCAGTCACAAAGGTGGCTCTCGTATGCCTGCAATACAAGAGGGGAATAAGTAATCAATAATTATGAATAAAAAGTCATGAAATCAACCAGTGTTTCATGACATTTCTAAGCACATTTTTTGTCATGTCTTAGAGCAAATGATTAATCAAGGACATAACCAACAAATTAGCTGACAATAACAACAGTCATTAGTTCCAGTCCTACAACGATAACGGTAATTTTGATATTACTGGCATGATTTTTGGCCTCAAAAATCATGAGAAGGACTCCACTGCTTTTAAAAAAAACTTCCACGCATAGATGTTTTCAGGAGACCTCACTGTGCCAACCGGGAGAAGTTTTACAACCAAGCACAGGGGAGCTGTGACACAAGTACAACAAAGGAGCCATTAAGAGCTGCGGGAGCTTACAACACCAAGTAAAATATGCCTTTTCCACAGCCGACATTCTGACTTGTCCTAATAGAACATAACGCATGTGTGACTCACATCACTAACGATGACAATGTTCTATTAAAGCACCCCAGTAAGTCATACAAGTGAGCCGAAACCAAAGGAGCTAAATAAAAGCGTGTCTTCTGTTAAAAACACCAACTGTCAATGCAGTAAAAAGCAGGTCAACGAGAACTCCTCAGCCAAACAAAAAGGCATCCAAGTGCTACTGAATCCAAAAACAACCTTTAAGTAATTACCCTCTTTTCTTGAACTTAACCCCCTTAAAAGGGAAAGCAGCAGCACAAAGACGTTCACCATAAATTCGACGAGGGCTCTGAACTTTCCCCCTGACCCTCACTGAATTTATGGATTAAAAAAAAAAGAAGAAGAAAACATGTGACTGCTTTTATTTATCATCTGTCACATATTTTAGCCTCCACAGCAGTAGGTGGAGACAGTGAGCTGGGAGCAAGGCCTGAGAACACTGAGCCTGTTTAACTGGTTTGTGTGGGTGAGAGCAAATTGCTTGGTGACAAGTAATGGCATTCTTCAACTGGTTACCGTGGATGTGACAGCTGGGTCACAGGAAGTGGCCTTGTTCAAATGATTTTAAATACCGAGGGCCTCTCTTGCCCCCCAGATGTGTGCGCTATGTGTGTTCATAGAACCAATTTCCTCTTTTATGGACTTGATTGGATGCTGGTTATACAGCAGCTGACTGAAATGTGTGTCTGTGCATCTCCAAAGCAGCTTTGTTTTGGTTTTTTGCCCTTCAGCAGGGTTAAACCACATGTTTGCTTTGTTGCAACTCTGTGGTTTTACACTTCTTTGCATGTGAGCTGATATCAACCTGCAGTGACTTTACCCCAGATGCACAGTTGTAATCAAAGTGACACAACAGCAACACAAACCCCTCAGTGTTTAGACCGATCGGGACATCTGAATATCACAGACACCAGGGCCCAATCACAACACTGTTTGTCTAAAGCACACACCGTGCTGTCAGTAGAGTTCAACTCACCTTGAAAAGCCTTTACCACAGCTTTGGCACACATAAGGTTTGCCGACTGATCCGTCGTGGGACCGCACATGGTACGACATCCTGTCCTTGCGCTTGAACCGCAGCCCGCACACATGGCAGGCGTACGGCTTCTCCCCGGAGTGGGACAGCTTGTGTCGGTTCAGGTGGTACACGTCGCGGAAAACTTTCCCGCAAATGTCACAGCCGACGTGCCGCCTGGTCCTCTCCCGTTTGCGGCCGTTATCCAGCCCCCCGTGGAGCTGCACGCCGTTCTCCAGCAGCCCCGGCGCAGACAGCAGAGACCCGCCGCCCGGAGCCGACAGGCTGTCACCGGCCGCGCTCACGCCGCCGTGGGAGGCTCCGTGCGAGGCTCCGTGCTGCGCTTCGTGGTTCTTCAAGCGAGAAGCCTCCGTGAAAGCTTTCCCGCAGGTCCCGCAGGGGAACAGCCCGTTGTCCTTCTGGGTGCTGTGATTAAAGTGAACCGGCTCCGCTACTCCACCGGCTTTCTTTGGTCTCCCCCGGTTCCTTTTCGACCCCGGGGAGCCAGCGTCGTGAGGAAACGTGTTCCCCGTTATTTCCGCGGAAGGGGACACGGACAGTCCTTCGACGGGCTCCAGCATCGGCACCGACGCCTCGCCGCCGTCCTCCAGCATGACGGCGGCCGTGTCCTCGCTCCCGTCCACATGCATCTGTGTATTGTTAGCAAAGCCCTGACCGTTCACCAGCATCCCCGTTCCGTTCACCAGATCCTGCTGAGCCACCGGGAAGCCCAGCTCCGTGGCCCCCGTGGCCTGGAAGAGGCTGGCGTCTCCTCCCCGGGAGGTCGGGACGAGGATCTGCACGTTGGACTGTTTGATCACCTCCTGACAGATCTCGATGACGGACCGCATCAGCAGAAACTTGGCAGCTGTCATCAACTCCGGGAAGCACTCCAGCCGCACCACGATCCTGGAGGTGTAGGCGAAGTCCAGGATGTCTTTAAAAACTTTCGGGCTGATCGTGTGCATCTCCAACTCCTTGGCGTCGCCGTCGCCCTCCGTCTGACGGCCGAACACCGACTCGAAATACTCGCTGCAGGCGGCTAGCACCGCTTTGTGAGCGGGGAAGCTCTCCTCGCCGACGCGTAAGACCACATCACAGAACCTGCCTCCATCTTTCCTCTGAACGTTGAGGTTGTGTAGCATCTCCGCACTGTGCTTGCTCACCTGGTAGGTGTACGAAGAAGTCCAAGACGGCTCCGCTACTTTCTCCATGCCGAATTCATCCAATTACAATGGTTGTTCGCGACAACGGCCGGAGAATTGGCGGATTTTGTGTGAGGATTTCGACCGAGCGAAAGCAGCTAGCTACAGAACCCAAAACCAGCCGCCCCTCCCGTCGTTTTAGCATCTAACGTTAAACGTTAGCAGTAGCAGCAGCAGCAGCAGGGAAAAATGGCAGCCCCCCAGCTTCCTGTGAACTTTGACCCTGCTTTCTTCGGGGGTGGGGGTCGCTAATGTTTGGTTTTAAAAAAATAAATACACATTTATATCAATGCTTTGTTACTCAATGTGTATTTTCGTGACTCTTTGGTAGCGACCGCGGGGACTTACGGGAGCAGAGACCCGGCGCCGCGGGGGTCGTTCGTGTCTTTCTGGCTGAACGTGAACACGCAGGTCGGTCTCTTCCTGCCTGGTGTGTCTCAGAAGCAACCCCTCCCCCAACAAACCCGAATAAAACCTCCTCCTCCTCCTCCTGTGAGCGAGCGCAGCCTGCGAGCCCATTCAAAACACAGCCCGATACTGTAGAGTCACCTCAGGTAAGGCCTGCCTTCAGCACGGCGCGATAAAAACCAGCCAGCACGTTATTACAGCAGAACCAGAGCAGAGCAGATGGTCGTGGAAATATCAGTTTACATAATCTAAGAAAAATAATTTTACGGCTGTTTAGTGTGGATAATTATGGAGTAGTCCAAGCGCCATATTACAAAATAAATCAATAAAAGTGGAAATAAATAAATAAAAAATTAAATTAAAAAAAAGTAAATAATGTGGCAATAAAAAGCAATATTAATCAAAAATGAATCCATTAAAGAAAAGGCTAATAAAAGTAGAAATATAAAGACAAACATATAAAGTAATTATTTATTTTTTCATTATTTCTTTTTATTCTTTTTTTTTCATAATGTCGCTCTAAAAGCAAAGGAAATATGGGCACGACATTCCTAATGCGCACATTTTTCTGCATATATTTCTTTTGCTTTTAAAGCGACATAGCAAAAATTTCAAAAAATGAATTAAAAAGCTTATAATTAAAAATAAAATACATATTTTGTCTTTATATTTCTACATAATCTTTAAGAATAAAAAATATAGAGGCTGTGTGCATTTTGAGGATATTAAACCATAAGGATGCCCTAAATATGGTTCTCAAAGCATTGAGACCAAGATGGTATTTACAAAATTGTGAATAGACAATATTTTTGAAAACTAAAAACTCATATCGGAAATTTCTACACTGATTCAATGTAAATTACCCTAATGCCAGAATATCTACAATAAACCAGTACAGGGAGATCAATTAACTGGTTTAGCTCAAACAGGGCATATTTTTCCTAAAGAAATGTAATTAAGAGTAAATGTATGACTTTGCACAACGATATATATCATTTACAAAGATTGGATGGGACCTGCAGGTCAATCTTCAGTATTTCTCAGGTATGGAAAACGGTTAAAAAATACAATAAAGGGATTTTTTTTTTTTTTTTGCTTCTTTAGCATAGCTACATGGTTGAGATATACATTCAGTGAGCACTGTATAATTTAATCCCACATAGACTGAGCCTTTATGAAGCTTAAAATAGTGTGGTCAACACTTGGACACAAGTGTAAATCAGGTGGACAATCATACATTAGACACTTCTCAGCTTGATATAGTGCAGTACTACAAAGTATAACCTGCCATTAATGTCGTCAAAATGACACCCAACAATGTCATAAGCTTTTGTTTTGTTACTGTGACGTTACACAAGTGTACCTAACAGAGCGCCAACAGTCGGTATTCACTCCTGTCATGACTGAAACAACAAATGCAGAATCATCTAAACAAAATAAACAAAAGTGTTTTACTCAAGAGTTTATTTATTAATTCTATTGTGCTTTTTATAACTTAGTAGCACACAAACAAACTGAATCCCAACCACCCTCAAAAACGACAGTGTGAGCAGTGCTGCCCCCCAAGTGATAAGTAGGACTGGCGAGGATACAGTTTGAAGGGAGGTGGGGGGGGAACAAAATAAACAAAAACACAAAGGCACAACCAGCTCGCTGCATCCCCGGAGGTGTCTTGAGATACTCCACTTCTACAGAAAAGGGCCACCAGTCATGCCACAAAAGGAAAGGTGGAGTATTCACAGAAGTTACAGCAGTGGCCCTTACTCCGTGTAGCTCAGAGGGAAATTAAGGTGGACACGACAAAGGAATGCTACCAGCTCTTGGTGACTTTGTCTCTCGCAGTTGTCAATTCAACTGCTGGATTGTTTCACCTTATCAAGAAAAACACCATACCTATATACACGGAGAATAAGATTCTTTCCCATGGTCTGTACAACTGGGCCTATACATTAATTATGTGCAGAGTCTAATACAAAAAGAAAAAAAAATAAATCACTCAGCTGGCAAAACAAATCTCCAACATTTGCCTCTTCAAAAGCAGTGACTTCAAGGTTGAAGACAAAGCATGGTATGGGTAGAATGTCCCCTTCTGTGCACCGTCTTTCAAATTAAAGTTCACATTTTCATGGTAACGAGGAGGTGGAGATGGGCAAAGGGAAAAAAAAAAAATCTCACATTCCAGCACAGTGTTTATTTTCTTATGGCCGGAACTCCAACTCATCTACACTTATAACCTTGGCCGGCATGGAGGGGAGTGGCTGCTCTAGCACATCTGATCCAAACCACTTGGCGAGGCCTAGAGGGGGGCTGCCCCCGTGTCGCTGGGAGCCGTTTGTCCGGTGGGGGCCTTGGCTCTGCGACTGACTGCCTGGGACGTTGGGGTGTACTGCAAGACGAGACAAAATAGTTGTAAACTTTTAGACAAACCAAAGCTTCTGTGGGGATGTAAAGCTGAGACTGCTACATGGAATCACAGTTCCTTCTACTCACTTGGTCTCTGTTGCTGAAGATGCTGCTGCATTACTGCTAACTGCATCTGAGTATTGGCTCTGGGAGGTAGAAGTGGATGTCCTGTTGCACTTAGAGGGTACAACGGTTGTCCAAGAAGGGCAGGAGGCAAGCCTTGAAGTTGTGCAAGGTCAACATGTGGTGGAAATATACCTTGTGAGTACAATTAAAGACGTCCATCAGAAATAATCAAGGTCAGAGTTTTAACATTGAGTCACTTGCAAAGAGCTTGAGCACTTCGATACTGAGAGTTTTACAAAAGCTGACAATGGTAAAAATGAGAAAAAAAAAATCACTTACCTGCTTGCACAAGAGCAGGTCCGAGCTGCTGGGGCTGGATGCCCTGCGCCAGCATTCGCTGAACCACGTTAGGGTGGAGCTGGGGAGGAGGGCGCACCATAGGTACATGGGACAGCAGCGGTACTGGGTAGATAGGACGAGGGAAGGAGGAGGATGATCCTGGAGGTACCATGGTGGGCGTATGGTGTCCAGCAGAACCAGGCCTGAGACGCTCTTGGTCCTTGCTTGGCAAGTTCTGTGAGCCAGTCTTCACGCCCCCTGACTGTGCAATGTTCCCATCCAATCCCTCCAGATATAGATTCGGGGAACTGCTGTCTGTGATCACAAAACCAAATCCTAATGTTAAAGTGCTGTATTACTTAGACTGAAGTTACAGTCAAGTTGATGCGAGTGAATCAATACTCTTTACCATCTTGAGAGTGAGCTGCCTCCTCCTTGGTCTCTGAACGACTTGATGGCTCATCTCTGCTTTTCTCTTTTGTTGCGTACATTTTGCGGATCACAGATGTGGGTGTAAATGACGGGGATAACTGGGGGAGGAAGAAAAATAAAACATTAAAACCAACAACACCAGGAGGTAAGTTCCAGGTTAATCTGTATACAGGACAAATGAAAAAAATGACTGGAGACAAAAATGTATGCTCACCATGCTGGTGACAGCATTTCCTGGAGAGTTTCTTCCAGCAGGCTGAGGGCCTGGTCCAGGGGAGCGATTAACACGCTGCGGCCTGTAGATTATAGACACACACTCTTCAGCCATACATAACTAGTAAATGCTGACCAAATTGTGTTTGAATGCATACGGTCAGTACACTGCTAAATCTAAATATGTACCCAACCATTTCCCACATTCTTTAAAAGCAAAAACCAAATTGCACTAAGCAGTACTGTGCAACACATTCAGCTACATTTGCCATCATTCCAGTTGCTGAAATTAACAGCAAAGACAAGCAGCCCAATAAAAATGTGTTCTTCAAACTGTAGGATTTGCAGATAACTGATTAGCTGAGGAGACATTCAACGATAATTTCACCATCAATACTGGACAATATTCAACATCAATCAATAAACAAACCTGTTTCGAAATGACTTGTCCTGTGGTTGTTTGTTGTAGCCCGACTGGAAAGCGTGGTGGGCATGTAGGGCAAGGTCCTGCTGGAATGCCAAAGCTTCCAGGTCTGCCTGACTCACAGGCATAGGGTGTGCCCTCATCTGGACAAACGAAAGACACACGGCCGATTCTTAACCAAAGCTTCACATGACGTGCCTTCTTCAAAAAATTATACAGGTTCAGAAACAAATGAAAGCTACACATGCATTAATGAAATTGAGTAAAACTAAAAATAGAGATTTCAGTAAGGCAGATTGGTATTTATGTGACAACTAATACGAGCTGAGGTAACGATAAGAGTCAACCCAAATCACGATTACATGTGAAATCTCTCTTCAGTAAATCCAGCCAAACATTTCAGTTACCTGTTGCTGTGCAGCAGATCCAGGACTGATAGACCTGTGTACATCAGCAAACTGTTCTGGCAGCATGGGCTGAGGACCAACAGGGAACCCTTGAGGTAAGAGGGGGAGAAGAGCTATTTAATGATCTGGTTTGGAAAGTAGATTTCATCAAGATCGATAATAACTTTCTGGACTTATTTCTAAAAATGTGATGCTTTCACTCCAGTTCCATCCTAGTTTTTCATTGAACTTACCTGCCGAAGGTTGCAACCGACTATTGAAGAAGTCAGGTGAGGGGGCCCTCTGTGGGAAGAGAGGAGGTGAAGGGCCCTTGTGTAGTAGGCCATGAAGAGGGGCAGAAGTTGGTGGGGCCTCAGAGCTGCCCAGCAGACTGCCAAGCTGTGTGGGGGACCCGCTGCGACCTCCCAACAGCTCCTGCAACATAAAAAAAATAGACATTTCCCAGAAAGTCCCCATTGACTTTAATGTTATGACGGCTACAGAGTAATATTTTTTCCCCATTAACGTCACTGTGTAAATTTACCATCTTGGAACCTTCCTCAACAGCTCTAGTAAAAAGGGTACACTCTTTGATACAGCGCTCAAGGTTGCAGTGTCTTTAGACATTTAATCTTTATAGCTTGGTTGTATTTGTTAATGTAGTGTTTAAAGATTTACACCCCTGGCTGCACATGACATTTCACTGCCTGAGGGGGAAAAAAAACAACAGAATCTGAACTGATATAACCATAACAGGTACATATACTGTTTGGTTTTCACATTCTTCCTTTAGGGCCCAGTTGACATAAGTCATTTCAGAATTTTGGCATTGTCTCAGTCGTGATGTCTCATGACATCCCTCACCAACATGGTCACCGGCTCAACTGTGCCACAAATTAATGAGCAGCTGTTGTCGAAAACCCCAAAAGAGAGCTCAGTACATGATGTTTTCCCTCCTCTGAACTTTGGCTTGCACTCAATCTGCTGCACAACACTATTTTGTCCTACATTTTGTCCCACAATTAATCTTAATATACCTTGCACCCGGCCCTCATCGTCAGTGGGAACAGAGTGGATCTGTGAAGACCTCTAGTCTGTACTGTACATTTGTCAGCATTAGCCTGAGAGGATAGTCAACATACACACCTGGAATATGTTTTTCTGCTGCTGAGGCGGTACTTGAGCATCAGAGTGTGTCACCACTGCTTGGTCTGAAGATTGCTGTATTGTCCAGGGAGAAAACAAATTGTTAGAATGCAAATACAAACAGCTTCCTTGTAAAAACACATCCCTGTGTCTCCATCCAAGTGCACATTCTGCAATGTAAAGTGAGCGGTAGGCATTTTGAAATGTGTCAACTTAAAAAATGTAGTTACCAGGTACAAAAACTGACTTTGCTGAAACCTCTACAAACCACAACACACCAAGCCCACTGACATGGATATGTACATGCAAGTCCAAATCCAAGTGTCCCACGTGCAAGCCAGTGATGCTTTTGGATTAATGTTGTTTTCTCTCATGGTTCTTTATCAAATGATCGTTGACATGATTCTCATCTCAGTTTTCACAAATGAGCTTGTTTATTTTGCACTGACTTGCACAGAGGACAGTTTTTAAACAAAATAAATGAATTCAAAATGATGCACAACACAGCAAATTTATGCCCATCATTCTCTACTTCATTTAACTTTTTTTTTGCAAAGAGTTGTCTGGGCCCAGTTTAAACGCTTGCATCACACAGGGCCACATTTTACCGTTCCATTGCAACATGCATGTTTGTCCAGTGTAAACGTGGGACAACATAAGAACGGCGTACACAGATATACTTACATTGTTTGTGTTGGTTTTGGGGTGAGTTGGCAGAGTTCCACTTGCCTTCATGCTGCTGACCAGTTTATTAAAGGCCGACATGTCCGTGTCACGTGAGCGTGGACGGACACTAGTGCCACCAGTTAAAGCCTCCTCTAAATGCTCGGCCATGAAGGGCGTACCGTTTCCCCTCTGGGGAGGCGGCACCTTTCGCACTTGTGGTTCTGAGCCAAGCTTCATTCCTTTCATCTCTCCCTCCACCTCCTCCAGTGACAGCACCACTCCAGAGTGAGCTGGGGACAAGAACAAATATGATTAGACTCTTAGCGACATCAATTTTAGTCTTAATGCATAATTTGACTTCATTTACATCTTGCATCCAACACTGCTGAGTGTTAGGACTCCCTAAAACAGAGACTCCAAAACTCTGAGGCTGCATTTTAATCTGAACAGAAATGGTGACCAAGACAGCCGTGCTTGGTTTCTGATTGCTGTTAATTGTCACTACCTGTTTCCTTATTCATCTCCCTCCTATTAAAGGTGTAGGAGTGTGATGCCTGGTGTCAGTGAGTGGTCATGTAAGAGGTGTTAGTGTAACATATATTTCATATTTCTGAAAGTGAGATAAAATACTGATCTGGATGGAAGTCAGTGTGCTTTAAAATTCAATTCGAAAATGAAAATGCATTAGTGTTGATGTAGCCTGTATGGGCCACGGGCAACAACAAAAGGTTAAGTTGTCAAATATTAAATTTCCATTTCATTTTACTTATTTAATACAATGCTACAAGAAAAAAACATGAGTTTTAAGGAGGTGCGATGGGACCAGTTTTCAGCTTGTAACTACAGGTATAGCTGAGACTCAACTGTGACTCAAAGTCCAGCTTAAGCTTTCATATCCATCTTCTCAAACACCTACAGGCTGCAAAACTATTTCCTTACTTAGAAAGTGATTTAATCTTTTGTCTGATGTTCACAAGGTAAAGACATTATACAGGAAACGGAGGACATGTGGGCTAGCACATGATTTACTGCATTTTTTTGCTGGAGCGTTCTGCACCCTGACACCGAACTCAATTAGTTATTTAATGCAATGTTAATGCTAGTCTGAACACAGTCTTAGTATCAAGGTGAGATTCAGGAAAAACAACAAGGCTGTGCCAGAGGATGTAAGATGTAGTAAAAAAAAAAAAAAGTGTTGTAAAAATAGCATGAATTTTTAAAGTTGACTGCCGTCTTTGAAGTGTAAGAACTTAGCAGGAGATGATGGGCACAGCATTAGAGAAGCAACAAAACAACTGGCACAGCGAAACTGTCAAAAAATGTCTTAAACTGATTTAGGTTTTTGTGTAAGAGGGTGTATGTGACTGAATAGGAAATGCTTGAGATTTTATTTATTTATTTTAAATCAGGCTATACTTGCACAATTACTCAACTGTGGAAATGTTTTAGTGAACTGGCACTCACTGCTTTCCCGTAGCCGAGCCTTGTTGACTGAGAGGGTGGAGAGAAGGGGCTTCAGGTCTATTTTGGCCTTGTGCAGCAGCTCCAGGATGTCCACCTTCTCTTTGCACTCTGATGATTGAATAGGTGTGAAGTATGAGGCAGGGCCTTGGCTGGGAGATGTGCAACGTGGATCAAGCCCTTCAGAGGCAAAACAGTTTTGATTTAGGGCTGCCGACACAGCGATGCAAGTCTGCCTAAGAGTGTTAACATCACCAACACGGGTGAAAATTGCAGACACATAGCATCGAGGGTAATGCAGTAAATAAGCAGGTTCAGGCTGACAGTTTATCCCAGCTTTTGTTTTTTTTCTTTTTTTAAGCTGGATGCTTCTCATGAAGCTAATAATACATCCCTAAATTGAGGTAAAGTTCAGATCAATTTATTTAAGTTGTTTTTTTAAAGATATGAAACATTATGGAAGACAGTCAACAAAGTATCCTGCTTGTTTTTTTTCCTGTGTCAGGTTTATTGAATCATCTGTAGGACTTTAAAAGCCAAGGCTTTTTTATATCTTCAACATGGAAGTCATCCTGATGACTCATTACAGCTGCTTTTAAAGAAAATGCCTCTGATTCTGAGATTTTCATGCTTCCACATGCCAAACCAAAGCTTGACCATAGAGTGCTACACAGATACAGGAAGCCCCATTAGGGAAATCAAATCACATACCTGCTAGCTTTTCCAGCTCCTCATGAGGAGTGGACCTCAAGCTGCTGGACCTGCTGCCTGATGGGCTCAGGTTACTGGAAAACCACTGACTGAAGCGGCTCGCCGATACAGGGCCCTCTCCCAAAACGTCCTCTATCATCTGCAAGACAGAAACGGGGGCCTGTGAGCCTGACTGAGAAACGCAAACATCCATAGACCTTAGGGTGCGAGAGCAAAGGTGGAACTTACATTTAGATTGCAAAATGTGCTGGAAGATAGAGGATAGTGTCACAGAATGGACTGCTTTTTGACCTTGTATTGACTTGTTTTTTAACCGCAAACCAGCCAATACACAACAATGTCTTTCGGTGGGGAGCCTGGCTCACCCCAGCTCTCCAATTAGTAGCATAATCTAATGCAGGTTTTTTGATAGGCATAAATTTGGATCGTTGATTCCGTTTCCCAGGCAGGAGCCCACAGGAAAAAAGAATATTAAGAAAGTGCACCATTCAGTGACAGTCCTCACCCTCAAAGATTAAGTTCAGTGAGATAAAGCCAGTGCAGCAGAGGTAGTCTTGTGCTGACACCAAGTATCTACACATGCAATAGTTTCTTTCAAAATTGCTTGTTTAGTTTTATTTAACACAGATTTGGACCGTAACTAGGTTAAAACTGCGCCATACCTGTCAATCTATCGCCTTAAACACCCTTAAAGACTGTACTAAAACATAAATACCTAAAAAAAAAGTAAAGACATTCAGTTCTGCACTAGAAAACTTCTACTGTTAAGCTTGTACTGATCACAATAATGCACAGAGGAAAAAACACAATGAGTAAGTATTACTTAACGGTACCTCATGTGTGATACCAACACCTGCAACCCGTACAACAGAACCACAGCGCAGCCCGGTACTTACAGAGGCCAGCCCAGGCATGGTCTTCTCTAGATTAAAGAACTCATTGAAGTCAAAGTCTCCGGTCGACTGCTCTGGTAGAACATCGGGGTGGGGAACTTCTTGATCAGCTGTAGACTGCAAACCGACATCTTGCTCCTCAGCCTGTCCACCATTACATTCCACTGATGCACAGAACACACGGGACAGTAAAAACCACAGTCTTCACAGGATAACTAGTCAAACTAAGCTGGTTCTGAAAATAACACATCATTTCAAGCTCTGACGTGCCTTCTTTCACAGACTCTGGCCGCTTCCTTGACCGCTTGGATCTGCGCTTGTCATCTTCCAGGATTTTATCATCAAACCCAATAAGCTCAATCGTCTCAGACTGGCTGGTGGGACCTCCGGAGAACCACTCTGGCTCCTCTTCTGCATACGAGTCGTTTCGTCTCCTTTCGCTAAACACACGTTTGTCCCCAAAATCTCTCTGCAAATGATTACACAACAAAAACAATGTCACTGTAAGTGTAAAATAGAAGAAAAGCCCCTGTTTTACCCAGGCTGATAGAACTATCTTCAAGATGTTGCATGTAAATATTTTTGTATTATGAAGAAAATCAAATGTCTGAAGAACATATTTAAATGGCAAAAGTTGTATGTAGCTTTGTGAAGCAAACTGAAGGTAAATGAGGCTGCTGTTTTTCCAGAACTCTTTCATGGCAGTCCTCTTTACATTAGAAAAAGATCAGCAACCTCAATGCACTGTATGCCTCGACATCGTAACTCTAAGGGAAATGCATTATGGACACCAACCCTGAATCGTTTATCCTTAAAGTCTCTCTCACGCTCCCTCTCCTTCTCCGCGCGAGCTTCTCTTTCAAAGGCTCGGGCAGCAATTATGCGTCCGCTGCCGATTCTGCGGGCCCCTCCCAGACGGAGACTCTCGTTCTCCTTATTTTCCAGTGGGCTGATTGGGCGACGGGCGTGGAGTGCCGGTGCAGCATTGCCCTGACATCCCCCTCCAAAGCTGCGTCGCTGTGGGCTCAATATGACGTCCAGATCGTCCTCCTTTAATCGCTCACGGGGATCTAGAGGCAGTGCAACAATGCTTTAACTACAGGACATTTTCACTGCTTCTGAACCGTCAGATGTTTCAATTGAATTTCCCTTCTGGGATAAATAAAGTAAATAAAGTATTTTTCATTTCATGTACAGGGAAACTAATTTTGCTTTGGATTAAATCTAGCTCTGCAGATTCCTGAAGCCTGTACTACGAAGCAGGATTTGCGGTTAATGAGGAATGTTCAAGTTTAATTCTGGGTTTTCAGAGACTACGATGGTGGTTTGCTTCATAACTGGGTACATCACCACTGTAACTTCTGTTGAATGCCTAACTTTCTCCGGAGCAGCTTTTGTTCCGGAAAACAGATCGATCAATATCAAAACACAGCTTAGTGACCAATCAGTTCGGTTAGAAAACAGCACGATCATTCCTGGAAGACCCCTCAGAGCTCAGGTCACAGACAGTGACAGAAAAAGCTAAGAGTTTTTAAAGCTGCAGGCCATTTCAAATCCATCTTACTGCTCTGCATGCCTGTGTGGAGCGATATAATCCTAAAACAGAAACTGAATAAAATATAATCCTAAAACAGTAAAACCTCACAGCCTACCTGCTGACTTCTTAAGACATGCAGCACATCCATTTATCAGTTTAAATTATGATTTTATATTTAGTCTTTATATGTTCTTAAAAACACCCCCAAGGTTGCAGCTGAAGGAGCCGCCAAGGCTAAAACTGTTATGCACGAGGTAAGAATTAGGTTAAATCCAAGAATACTGAATTCATCCTCCACATGACAATTAAATACTTTTTATAAATTTGATTATTTAATCTTTAAATAATGTCTTTTTGTGAGTAACATAAAAAGAACAACATCTGAAATCCATAATACAATCTTGTGATGCGTAATAATTAAACTTTATCTCAAGTGTTCAATAAGAAACCTACGTCTAAGCAACATTTACACAGTGGGACAGTGTTACAGATAAGCTGATTGAATTTACGTATTCACAGTGATAGCAGTTTTTGCTTTCCTTGCTGACCTTCATGTAACTGCTTATCCCGACTGTGGTTGTTAGGTTTAGTGAAGCCAGATAATGAGAAGATACCCTGGCTATGCTGAACTTGCTTCATAACACAGGCCTCTGATGTTGGCCACTATCGAGTCATTTACCTGGGATTCTTCGTTTCAGAGGAACTCTATCATCCACATAGTCCTTCTTAAAACCTTCCACCGGAGAGCTTCGCTCTGATGTGGGGTACAGTGAGGCGTGCCATTTCTCAGGGTCCCAGACACCATCACTGTATAAAAACACCATTTGAACTCAAAATTAAAGAAATACTGAACTTGTTGAATCAATCAATCACTGATTAAAATAACTGGGCAAAAGACTTCATGTGTTGCTACATACACAAAAAATGTGAGGCTAATCATACCAACAATGAAGGATACAAGAATATCAAGTATTGTCTGTCTAATATTTTTTATGCTTTTAAGCATTACAAAGACAGCAGTCTAACTACATTTAATAAAAAATCAACATGGACAACAAAGCCAGCTACAACCACTATGCTGTAAGACAATAAGTCTGTTATTTTTAAAAATCACACCATCCAAGTCTCAGTATATTCGGTCATCTCAAATCTAAAAATCAGAACAGCAAAGTTCTGCAAAACTGACAATAAACCATTTTCCACATTTGTTTGTATTTCAAACAGTGTTAAAAATGGTGAAAACAAACTATATACTAAATCAGCACATGTCCTAAAAGAAAAACTGCTGCCATTCACTCATCTCAAATATGAATGCAACCCATACAGATTGTGTATTTCAGAAAGCTTGTTAAAAACCTCTTTTATGAGTCTACTTTTCACAGTGTTAGACAACCACTGCTCAAATAGCTCAAGCCAGCACTGATCCTAAAATGTAGAAGTTAAAATATAATATGGGTGATCTAAAAATGTTTATCACAAAACCTTTATCACAACACCCAACATCAGAGGTGACCTTCCTTGACCAAGCACTTGCAGTCATACGTTTGGTCTGCCATGGACTTTTCTTGGGCTGCACTAAGGAGTCAAGACTGAAGGAAATGTGACTACAGAAGACCTGGTCCTGTGGACAGTCAGGCTTCCTAAATGATAAACCATTCCATCAAAACTAATGTTAGGTTAATTCAAAGTTTCAAAGAAGTGTACACTATATTAGTGCACCAGCTCCACTCCATAATCCTGTTTGTTCAAAGTCACTTTAAAAATATTTGATCCCATACACTTCACACAGTGCCAGTAGCACATAATACCAGACAAAGACTTACTTTGTAAATGCTTTGAGCTCAACGCAGAGAAATAAAATATCATCATAATGGTGTCTGAATATTTTTTTTTTTTGAGTGGAGAGTTACAAAAAATATACATTTATGTCCAAAAGAATCATCTTTCAAGACACTCTTTCAGGACAGCTAATGACCTCCACTGAAGTTGTAGATTCACAATGCTTACACTAATTTATTCTCATCAGCACCTATATTTAAAAAGAGAACATCTTTGATCAAACATGTAAATAAGCCAATTACTATTCAGTTAAAAAGTTGGTATCCATTTTTCGACACAGCGCACACATGCATTTTCATTTCACCAGTCTTGTTTCCCTGGTTGACCTACATCTGTAAGGGTAAGGATGGTGTGGATTTTGCATCTAAAAAAATATTCGTACCTGTCATATTTCTCAGAGAGACATTCAGGCCTTTCATTGGAGATTGGCAATTCTTTTATTTCCAGAAGCTCCTCCTGTATAGTAATTGAAAATGGTCGTGTTAGGAAGAAAATCTGTATGGCTTTGAAAAATAATCATACAGTTGGCATATCTCATCACCTTGGTGTATCTGAAAGGAGTTGTGGCTGCTGGCTGTTGCTTAGGCTGGTCCACAGCAGCATCCCCATTCTTCTGCTCCACACAAGCATCTTTCTCCATGACTAGTTTCAGACAGAAACAGCTTCAAGCCCAACAGTGACTCTGTATCTGTTGAAAACAAAGTTAAGAAGTTAGCCTTATGTAACAGTGGGCACTCTGCTGGACGATGCAGATAAACTTAAAGGCGAACTGACTGCTTATAATGTCGTTGGTCAGCTGCTCTTTAATCGTAATTAAAGATTGTACGAAAAAGGCGCCGTCGAAAAAAATAAAAAAAACGCTGACGTTTTAAATCAGTTTGCGTGGAAAAACAAAACTGAAAGCAGCGATCTAACACAAACATGACAAAAACAGCACAACAACAAAAAAATAAAACTCATCAAAATAACCATAAATTTCAACTGAGGTCGAGCTTGCTCACGTGGGGACAGTTTTAGCAAAGGCCGCAAGCTAATTAGCGAGTTAATTGACAACAGCCAGAGAGCATTGGCAAAGGAAGTGACATGTCAATCACAATAAATTACAATGCGTTGGCGTTAATTGAAAAATTGCTTGTAATGTCTACTCTGCTAATGCAGTTTCTACTTAAAAGAAATCCAAACAGAACGAAACGTTGACGCGTTTGAATCAATATATTGCTACACTTGTCTTCTCTTCGTTGAGTTTTAGGAAAATACACGTTAACAACTCACCCAGAGATTTGTAGTGGGTTAGCTAAATTGTGGTAGCATCCCACACAGTTAGCTCTAAACCTCTTCTGCGGTTTAAAATTATACGAACAGCTCACTAGCTAGTACATTTAGAAAGACGCAATTGACCAACTTACTCTGTTTGAAATATGCGTGGAGCACGAGTTGCAAACGGCGGAGCAGAAGCAGTTAACGTTAGTTGGCTAGCTAGCTAGCTAACCTAGCACCTTTAGCTAGCTAACTAACTAGCTGGGGAATGGGGATAATGCCCACCCAGCGAGCACCGAATCAAAAGCCGGTTGAGTTGTTGCAGTGATTTCAATAAACTCACAATGTAGTAGGGTAACTTAATACAATAACACAGGTCCAAATAACAAATTAAATCTCACGGAAACTGTGTAATCTCAAATAATTGTCTGCTCTTTCTCTGTTTTCTAAGTCGTAGCAGCAATTTTCCTATGATCACCGCTTTAAGAAGGTCCTGGGAAAGATTACATTGTGCCCATCGCGCCTTTGTAGAATTATAAATAGTCTGGTGTGCGTTGGCGATATTGTGTTTTAATATTTAAATTGTTATATAAAAAAACACACGTCCCTAGTGAGACATTTATGCGCAGCTCTACAAACTATGGCCAAAATCTAAATGGCTTCGTGGGAATATAATTCATGTTTAATTTGGAACGCTTTACAGGCATTATTTGGGGCAGCTACTGATTGTCTTGGGGTTTGCTCGATTTGCTCTTCTCTAAAGCGGTCTCTCGGCTCTTCTTTGTGAAAATAGAGTCCCCGCCCTCACAGGCGGTCCAGGTCTAGCAATGCGCGTCGTCGTTACCCTGACAGGACCTTTGGTGCGTTGTTGTCTCCACACCGGAGTAAACGTGCCACAATGGAAACTCCCATAACGTGACATGAATTATACCCCGATGCACTAGTACAAACTTGACAACAACATTAAACGGTGTAAAAACTTTGAAAGTTACCAACCGCCACAACCTACACTCAGTACAATGTCTACTGCGCAGAATATCGGCGCAGGTTGTTGCCGTTGACAACACGGTGTCACATCCGCGTTCACGTGACAGGGAAAAACAAACGCGCGGCAGTTTGTGACCTAATCCCTGCACCGAAGAAGCGTGTTGTTTTAGTTGAGAGCCTAGAAGTGTTGGCCTGTGATTATTTTATTGGAAAAAACGATGCGGTGATCATACAGAACTGTGAAGTAGTGGCTTGAATTAGTATAATGCAAAGTAACGCCAGAAGCTTAGCTCCAGTCAGACCCCGACCAGGCAGCGTCAGACCTGTTGCTGAAACCAAACAAGTGCGCAAAGTTCCGACCAGAAAGGTTCTTTACAGAGTTGGATACAGCTGGAATAAAGGTGGAAGACTCAAAGAGCTGCGGATAAGGTGCCTTCATTTACTGTTGTTGTTGTTTTTATACCTTACTGCTTTAATAATTTATGCCTAACTTAAGTTTAACCTTTGTAGACACTTGGCAAGAAAGTTTCTGAAGATATGGATCCGGAACACCTTTGGTCGACTTCTTCCTCATGAAGCCAAGTAATTTAACACATTTATTTTTGCAAAGTGGAGCTGCTGAACTAAGAAATATTTGTATTGTCAAAGCTAGGATCATGCTCTATCCCTTTTAATATTCCATCCAAGCACATTCTGCTTCTAAATTAAATTGTGCTCTGCAGGTCCCACTACAACAGCGTGGTCCTGAGACGAGCCTTTGGAGGATGGAGGGATGAGTGGTGGGCGTCCAGGAGGGAGTGGAGTCTCACACTGCGGGCCGAGTGTCACTACAGGTCACTACAGGACGTTATCCAAGGATTTACAGTCTAGTCGCTCAGTCGACTCATCGCTGGAGGCTGTTTGTGTGATTGTGTTGTTGTTTGTGTTTTAGGTATTACCTGTGTAACTGGACATTCCACAGTTGGCGAAGGTTTATATCTTTGCAGAGGGAAAAGAAGGCGAAAGTGCAGCACGCTCAAGCATTTGGTATGATCACAACACAAAGAGGGAGTTTCTCGCTGAACCATAAGCCACATGTTTTGTAAGATATCAAAGGCAGCTGGTGCCCCATTAATCATTTCGTTTCTTTAATCAGCTGACAAGCAACGGATGCGTCTGGTTTGGGACAGATGGGAGGTTTTCACGGAGATGAGGAGAATGAAGAACAGAATGCTCGAATCGGCCCTTGAGCAAAGCAGGCTCTCAACTATGCAGTGAGATGATTATATTTACAATTTGTTTCAGTCTTGTAATCTTGAACATATTCCTGGTTTTAACTTGGTTGTGTTTTCCAGTTCAGCGTGGCGCTTGTGGCAGACTAGGCTTCAGCAGCATCGAGACCTTTATGCTTTAGAGGAAAAAGCTCTGAAAAAGAGGAAAGTGATCTTGCAGAGCGAGGTAAAGACGCGACCCAACACTGAAGCTGCACAATTATTTGATTTAAATAATCAACAACTACTTTTAAAGTAATTTTTTAAGAAAAAAAAGTGGAAATTCTCTGACTCCACCTTTTTAAATCAGAATATTTTCTGGTTCCTCTACTCTGAACTAAATATCTTCGGGGTGTGAATGAAACAAGACCTTTGAGGATGTCATGCTGGACTTTGGGAAACACGCAATTTTCCTGCATTTCATCAACCAAACGACTAATTGATTTATTAAGAAAATAATGAACTGACAGTGAAACCAGTTGTGTCAAGACACCTATAAACCATTTGTTATCAGTTTTATGAGCAGTGATTGCTCGTCTCCTGTGCGTTTTTCTGTTAATGTGGGAACTTATATGTTTTGTGCAAGGTTTGGCATAAATGGAAAGAAATGCACACAGCTGCTCGTCGCCAGAGAGAAAAAGAATCCAAAGCTGCACTTCACTTCAACCTAACACTGAAAAGAAGAACATTGACTCAGTGGGTAAATTATGTCTCCTGTCGCCAGACCAAGAAAAAAACACAAGGTCAGTATGTGTAGCTTCATTCCTGTTCCTGACTTTTCATCTGCTCTTTCACATGTAGAATCTCTGTTCTTACCAGTTGTTATTGTTTGTGCCTTTGTAGCTGTGGCCCAGCGTGCCGCTTGTCTCCACCTGGCGGAAAAATGTTGGAGTAAATGGAGCAACGCGCTGGAATGCAAACAGGCTGAAGAAGCCCGGTTGCAATCTGCAGGCCATTTGGCCGAACAGAGCGTCCAGCGTAGAGCGTTGGAGTGCTGGAGAGCTTGTATCCTCATCCATACGTTCACACATACAATCACACAATCTGCTGAAGCATAGTCAGTTCTTACAATTATCGTTTGATTCTTTAGCTCTTCAGTAGATGTGACGTTGTGCAGAGAAGAGGCTGAAAGAAACCAGATAGCGAGTCAGCATCTCCAGCGTAATTTACTGGTAAAAAGGAAAAAAAGGAGCAAGTTCCAATAAATAGACCATGTGATCACGTCACATATTGATCACTGTGCGTTCTTGTTGCAGCGTGCTGGATTGCGCGGATTGTCTCTGAATGTCATGCAGAACAAAGCACACAGACTGAACAACAACATGGCCGTCCAACATCGTCAGCAAACAGTAATTAATGAGCACACTGTGATCCTCACTCTACAGTGTCAGTAATAATTACTTTCTGTAAAGTTTCGAAAGCGTCTGAAGGTTTGATGTTTTTCATAGATGATGAGCAGGTTCTGGAAATTATGGCAGAACCGTCTGGAGGAAGCTGAGGATCAGAATTTTCAACCGCTCACAGAGACGGCACAGACGAACTACAGGTGCTTTCATTCATTGCTCAACATTGTAGCATTCAGGCTACAAACATATTTTATCTTTTGTTAGATCTGAATTTTGAAAGGAGCTGCTTTTCTCACTTCAGCGCTTTACTATTGAGGAGCTGTTTTCAACATTGGAGAGAGAAACTTGCTGAACAGAAACACATGCAGGTATTTTCAGATCCAATACAAAGCATCAAATATGAAGATATACTTCTATGGATGAGAGCAAAACATGTTTCATAAAACAGTCCCATATGGTGAAAATCCACTTTTTATTGTGTTTCGTTGGAAGCTGTGAGAATATAAAGACCACATCCATTCCTCTAGCCCAGCTCAGCTGCATTTAAAACTGCAAATGCTGAAACAGCCACTTCAGAGCAGGTGTTATACAGTCACAGTGAAATAAACCATCTCTGCTGTTGTTTGAGCTGAAAATTAAACACATTCTGGGGATATATGAGACTTTCATGAATGAAAAGATGCAGAATATGTGACCTTTAAACTGAGAACACTGTAAAATATATTACAGTTTATGAAATCTTGTGATGTTCATACAAACAGTAGTTGAAAATACGAGATATTTGATCAAAAGCATGTTTTCTTACAGGAACTCGAGCTTCGTGCAGACATTTGGTTTGCAGAGCGTATGTTACCTCGATGTTTCCAGTCATGGGTTAAGTTCGCTCTGCAGAGACAACTGCAGAAACAGAGGAAACACAAAGCTGAAGTCTATAATCGGTGAGTTACCACCTTTTCTCTGGACTTGTTGTAAACCGGTTCCAAACTCAGCAGGCTGACCTATGCGATGTCTCTCCGTGGTTTGTTTGTCAGGCAGCGTCAGTACACTTGGGTGTTTTACACCTGGTGGGGGCAGTCGGAGAAGCACAAGGAGGAAATGCTTTCTGAGCGGATGGTACGCCAGCTTCACATGAAAACTGTGTTGTTGATTAAGACCGCAGCTGTGCAACAGACTCATAACATTGTATTTTCAGGCAATTCTTCACGAGGAGCGATGTCACATGCAGAGAGCCTGGGCTCGATGGAGACGACGCACACAACAGAAGATCAAAGAGGCGGAGAAACAGGAGGCCTCACACCGCCTGTACCTGCACACACTTCTCCACAAGACAATGACGCAGTGGAAGGACAACAGTGCTGAGATACGAGACAGGTGAAGCAGACCAAGTTCTGCTGAGGTTGTTGGTACAGCTGTGAGCTTAAAGTGGTGTTTGCTAATATATCTGTTTGTTTCGTGTCAGGAGAAACCGAGAGCAGCAGGCCTGCCATCAGGGTGACCTGCGCTGCATGAGATGGGCTGTAGAGAAATGGAAAAAGGTGCTTTTTTTAGTCTTTGTCCCGGTCAGTCTGCACACCATCTGCTCATAGAGTTTACACCCTGTAAAGCATCAGTGCTTTTGGCCTAAGATTAAAAAAAGGATAAAAACAGAACTGTTTAAATCTGGAAACTTGCATCTTAGAAATATTCTGCTCAGCATCTCTGGAAACCGGTGCATTGACCAGAGCTCTCAGGTGTCATACCAACACAGATCAGATGTCTGTTTCAAGTGTGTGTGTGTGTGTGTGTGTGTGATCAGTTTGTTCAGAGCCAGAGGGTGAAGAATAACAGGCTGGAGCAGATTCAGCATTGCCATGAAGCTAAACTTCTCAAACACTCCTTTGTGGCCTGGAAGGTACGTTAGTATCGATTACATGCAATATACTCACATTATTTAATGCGCTGGGAGCAACACAAATAAAGTCCTGTGTGTATTCACAGAAACACCATCTACAGATGTCTCACATCTACGATCATGCAGAGGAACTTTACAAGCAGCAAACACAGTGTTTTCTCAGGTAAAGCACAAACACATAGAACCTCCTTCAGCATCTCCATTTAGAAACCACGCAAGTATGTCAGCATCACCAGCTTCAGTCCTGTCTCCTCAGGCGAGTTCTCACTGTGTGGAGGGAGAACGCAGCGCTCATGGCAGAGGTTCGAGTCGCACAGCAACGGGCGCAGAATCACTATGAGCACCACCTTCAATTTAAGGTTATGAACGGTCTTGTGCCTTCACCTTTAAAACCACCACAGTTCCTCACTTTTTAAAATGTTTTTGCTGATTGCTTTCTTTGCTCTAAACCTCTCAAGGTGTTCTTTACTTGGCGAGAAGTAAAAACACATGCAGTATCAAAGCGCCACCAGCAGGGGGAAGCACTCAGCAGGGCTCAGAGCTCCATAAATCAAGGTATGTGGTCAACAGGTTACAGTTCCATCTTCTCATTTCTCAGTTTGTACGTCCTGGATTCCTTTTCTCTCCTCATGTCCTACATCTTAGGACCAGGAAGTGACACGAAGAGAGAGGAGCACGATAAATAGTACTTTGCAGATATCGCTACACAAAAGAGTGCCGAGCAATCGATGGCACATTTGATCATCTCAGTAAACTAATGCAACTTCTGAATTTCATACAAAAGCAAGACTTATATTTATTCAGCGTTTTCATCTATTGCAGCTGCGTGTCAAGTTCTTTTACAAGTCACGAGTGTCGAAACCTCTGTTTTTCTCACTCTTGTAGTTTGATAGTAGCCGAGTATTTGTTTAATTTGCTGTCATACAATTTACAGCTAGACTGTAAAAGCACATGAACGGCTGCAGTGGATCAAGACCCCCAGAGTGGGACAAAGCAAATTACTTTGATCAAACTAATCTAAGACAAATGCAACATTTATCTTCCACTTATCACAGTTTTCCTTTTATTACAGTGATTAATTAACTGTTAAGTCAGAATGGTGCTTTTAAGATAAGCAAAGTGAAATGTACCTAAATTGTTGTCCACTTCTTACCTCACTGTTTTCTGTTTTCAGTGCAACTGCTGCGGTTTTTCAGACAGTGGCGGAAACAAACCAGGGAGGCTCGGAGGGAGAGGATGTGCATGGAAAAGGCCAGGAGGCACCATAACTCTAAACTCCTCTCTAGAACTCTGAAAGCATGGAACGTATACCACTACCAGCACCAGAAAAATAAGGTTAGAACTTTATTATCGCTTAACTGTCGACATCATGCAGTAACGTGGGTTCTTAAAAATGTTGAGATGTGTTTTTTGTAGGTGATGAAACGACAAGGAGTCCTGCTGCTGAGATTGAAAATGTACCAGGCGTACTATGAACGGTGGAAAATGAAGGTTTGTTGATGTCCTTTTTTACATTTCAAGCAAATTAGTGGAGTAAAAGTGACGTTGACATCCAAAGAGGAAAAGGACAGAATTGGCAGCGTTTGTATTTTGTTTCCTGATTTCTATGTGGAACACGACTGTGAGTGGGCATAAAGGGGAGACAGTCAGACTGATGTACATTCATGGTTTTTATTTATTAATTACCTTCAGGCAAAGTTTAATCAAACCAGTTTTTGTTGTGAGCACCCTTTGCTTTTAAAACAGCACTAATGAGGTACAACTGTGCACAGTTTTTTAAGGTACTTGGCAGACGGGTTGTTTCAAGTCTCTCTGTGAACTTGCCAAAGTCCATTTATGTATTCAGCCCGTCTCGCTGTCTTCTGACATACAATCCCAGACTGACTCCATGATGTTTAAATCGGGGCTCTGTGGAGGTCGTACCATCTGTTGCAGGACTTCTTGTGTTTGTTGCGGCAAAGATAGTTTTTTATGACTCTGTTTGAAGTTGTTGTTAAGCCCCAAAATGAATTTAGGACTTGAGATGCCTCTTTGATACTACTGTGTGATGGATAAGAATCTTAAGTGGCCAGAACTTTAGCACAGCACTGTATGTGGTTTGATTTAGTGCAGTTAAACTGGCTGTGACGTCGGTTTTCTTCCTGCTAACAGCTGCAGCACAGACGGAGAGAGGCTAAGCAGACCGAGCGGGCTCTCTGGCACTGGGCCCTCACTCTGCAGGCCAAGGTAACACCTGCCTCCGCATTCTTCTCTCACGACAACATTTAGCTCTGTATGCACTGCAGAAATGATGCTTATCTTGATGTTGCTCCGTGAACCTGCTGCAGGTGTTGTACGGCTGGAGGCTGTGGGTCACAGAGCAGCGCAGGAAGCAAGAACAAGCCGCCAGAGCTGCACTGGTCTACAGAGACCAGCTGCTGAGGGAAGGCGTGTCGTGCATCCTCACATACGCTGCTCATATGAACAATCTCACCACGAGCCTCACGCAGCACAGCCAAGAGCAAGTGGGTTATTGTGTGTTTCTTGTGGTTGTTTTTAGACGTCAGATTTAATTTTATTAAATCTACACGTGTCCCGCAGAGATCACATCGTCTCCAGAGAGTCGTCAGACGGTGTGCCATGCGGTGGAAGCAGCGAGCGCTGTGCAAACCACGAAGGGAGCAAGAGGTCAGAGCTCAACCGCTGAAAAAGAGCGTGACCTTCTGTTTGACTGCACCTGCAGTGAACAGCATTTCCTCGTCTGACTCGGCAGAATACGGAGCTGAGGATGAACTGCTTAGCAAGCTGTGAGTGTGTGCGTCAGTCTGACAGGCTGTGAAAGTTTGGTCGACATGTGGACTTACATTTTGTCTTGTTTTTGTTTTTTTGTTTGTTTTTTTCTGCAGGCTTCTTAACAGAACACCTCGACGTCAGCCACGTCGCCGCCAGGAGCTCTTTGACTCTCCAGGGAAAGTGTTGCAACATAGAGGGTACAGCAGCTGTCAATAAATTGACACTTTTTCTCATTTCTGTTCGTACATAGGGCTGCAAGGTGGCTCGGTGGTTAGCACTGTCGCCTCGCAGCTAGAAGATTCCCGGTAGGATGCCCAGGATTTTTCTGCGTGGAGTTTCTTGCACGTTCTCCCCGTGCAGCTACGTGTTCTCCGGCTTCTTTCCACAGTCCAAAAACATGTTGAGGTTAATTGGTGATTCTAAATTGTCTGTAGGTGTGAATGTGAGTGTGCTTGGTTGTCTGTCTCTAAGTGTAGCCCTGTGATAGACTGGTGACCTGTCCAGGTGAACCTGCCTTCACCCTGAGTCAGCTGGGATAGACTCCAGCCCCCATGACCCTAGTGAGGATTAAGCGGTGTATAGATAATGGATGGATGGATGATTACTATATTTTCTGTGTATTAGACACATATTTTATATTATGAATTAGCTTAAAGTGAAGGGTTGTGTTAACAGTCTGCAGAAGGAACTAACAAACGCTTTGTTTTCCAGCATCCAAACACAAACTGGCATCACCAGCAGCGAGGCAGCTCCGTCTGAGTTCAGTTTTCCTTCAGAAGACGACCATCCTGCAGCGTCATCCTGCCTCCTTCCTGCTAAAGTCCCTGTTACCGCTACACATCAGAGCCCCCTCATATCTACCATCTCTGAACCTTTCATGCCCACCGTGGACTCGACTCAGGAAACACAAGACCTCCTTTTACCACCTTCTGCTTTCATGGCTGCTGGAACCCAGAATATAGTAATAATCACGTGTTTGACTTGGACATAAATCTACAAGCATTCATCACTATATTAAGTAACTTGCTTGGGTTATATTGTGGTTTTTTTTTTCCCAGTTGGAGAAATGCAATCGCTCAGATCCTGGAGATGCTCCTCTTGTGCCTTTTCATCAGTTCATCCCTTCATTTGAGCAACACTCATCAGCTCATCCAGGTATGTTATCTGTGCCTCTCCTCCCAGTATGAGTTTCTTTAATCACCTACGTATCAAGCTTGGATTACAAAGAACATCTCAAACACCAAAGCTGAAACAACTGTTGTGATGCTTTTTGAAGAGATACGTGTGAGAGCATCCAGTGGAGAGACTGAGGTTCCTCATCCAACAGCTGATGCAACATCAGCTCTGACGACAGAACTTCTCAGCATTCGGCTGGAGATGAAGAGCTTCCTGCAGGAGAGAAAGCAGCTCCGGTAAAAATCAGTCTTTTTATTATCAATGTACATGTTGTCAACATAGAGGCTGGTGTTTGATGTGTGTTTTTCCGATCAGGGCATGGAGAAAACTGCAAGAGGTGTTACAGAGTTGGCTGCAGACCAGCGGAAAGGACGAACAAATGGAAAAAAATGCAGTTTGCCAAGATTTAAAGGAGGTAAAGACGTAGAAAACTGCTCAGGGACGCCGTTATCAGCGCCTGCATTCAGAGATAAATAGATTTTTTACAGATGTAGCACAAATGTGAGTGGTGATGATCTAAAGCTTGATTCATTTAAGTTTTAGTCTTTATCATCATTCTCAAAGAACATTAATCAAGTAACCTGACTGTGTTCAAATATTTGACAATAAACATCTTAACTAAACCTGTAGGGGGGTCACAGGGCCTAAGCTGACACTGGACAGGTCACCAGTCCATCACAGGACCAACACAAAGCAACAGACAACCGTACATGCTCCCTCTCACACCTGTGGCCACTTTAGATTTACCAGTTCACCTGCCGTACGTGTCTTTGGACTGTGGGAAGAAACTGGAGCACAGAGAGAACAACTGCACACACAGAGGACATCCAGCAGATTAAATCCCAGAACCTTCTAGCTGAGAGGCGGCAGTGTTAGCCGCCACGTCACTCTGTCGCCTTTAAACCAACAATAGTTAATCTGAAAACACATTTTCTGGGTATTATTAGATATTTAAATGTTTTTAAATTCGATGTCATTGTTTAAGAAATTCTGCCAAGTGCTCAACACATTTAAACTACACCTAAAGGGATAATGTCAGAAGTTCCATCATGGTTGTTCTGTTTCTGTACGACAGGTCTTAGCTAAATAAGCTTTTGTTGTATTTCCACCTTGAACCTACAGTGTACCGTTAAAAAGCAGAGATTCCCACTTTTGGGGATTCATGCATAACAAACCTTCCAATCCTGTTAAATTTTAGGGTTATTTTCTATCTATCAGAATCGGTTTCTAGTGCGAACATGTATGACTGAATTACTCCAATAGTACAACTTGCCGTCATGTAGCAGAGAGTGGTTTCACAGTGCAGAGTCGTAGGTGAGCTGGTGTGTCTGAGCTGCAGCGAGTGGCGAAGGCATGGGAGGGGAGAGAGAGGAAGGGACGTCATAGATCTGCATACGAGGTGTGTCAGAGAAGTTTCAGGACTGGTGTCACAAAAGATATATTTTCAAATCCAAACTACAAGTTTTCCTCTTCAAAGTAATCCCCCTGGAGTCTAACACACTTCCCCAGACTTCTCTGCCTGGAAGGATTCTTCCGGGATCCTCCTCAGCTCCGTTGTCACAGCCATCTTGATGTTGTCCATGTCTCCAAAACGGGTCCCCTTGATGACCCATGAGGTTGGGGAAGAGGAAACAATCCCACGGAGCCAGGTGGGGTGAATAGGGAGGTTGCTCCAGCACGGCGATGTTCTTCTCAGCCAGGAACTGTGGGATGCTCAGGGCATCGTGAGCAGGCGTGTTGTCATGGTGAAGCAGCCACGACTCGTCCTGCCACAACTCTCGCCTCTTCTCCTCACTGAACGAAGCAAACGCTGCAGGATCTCTTTGTAGACGTGCTGGTTGATCGTCTGAAGGGGAAAACTCGTAATTTGGGTTTGAAATATATCTTTTGTGACACCAGTCCTGGAACTTTTCTGACACAACTCCTATTCATAGAGGGTAAAGGTGTAAAGTTAGATCTAAACCATTTAAGGCATGAAGGGTTCTTTTTGTGGATAAAAGTTACTAGATGTGTAATTTTAATATACAGGGACAACTTTTTATGGTTTAAATCAAAGACCAGGGAGAGATTTTGATAAAGCATTCAGGCAATAATTGTGCTTTTTCCATCACTATGAGAGAAACTGTGGTTCTCTGACTTTATGCTGCACAAACACTGAGTCTGCAAACAGCAGCAGGACACCAGAAAGTAGAAGTGACCTTACTGAGAAGCTGGTGATTTGCACACGGTCCGAGTTTCTTTGATAACGGAAAGAAGCACTCACAGTCTGGTTGTGAGGCTAGACTTCTGAAGTTCCTGTCACTGTTGCCTTAAGCTCTGCATCCATTTCTCAGCAGCTTGATTAACTCGCTGGCTGTAAAGTATTAAGCAGAGTTCACTTAAGGCGGATGGTGAATTACATCACTGACGCTGCACGTTACTGTTAATGTGTCACAGTTGTTGTTTTTGATGTTGACAGTTGGAGGAGCGCATCGACAGACTGTCCACGGAGCTGGAAAAGCAGAGACCGACGATGCTGCTGCACGCAGAGAGAGTCCAGCATTTACAGTCGGTCCTCCACGCGTCAGGAGTGTATTTCCTCTGTCAAAAAGCAAAAGAGATGGAAGCTGATACCTCTGTGTTTACAGCATTACAGTGCAGTCCTCACACACCGCCAGAGCAATTACACCTGCTGGACTGTTATTTATCTGCCACAAACTCGTTTTCATCTTCTAAACTGATGCTTATTTCGCTGAAAACATGCTGGACTTTTATATCTTCTGAGGGGAAAAAACGGACATCTCAATATCCCTGTAATGCTGTTGTTCTTGTTAAATGTCTTAAAATTGACTCAGCATAACCAAAAACATTAAAACCGAAGTACCACAGAGTAGCCTGCAGCGCTGCACTTTAAACGGACGGAAACGTTGGATAGGGGTCGTCCTTGTGACAGATGGTGCGTACTAAATATTTTCCATATGTGTGCAAAAAGTGACTTTACTGTTTTCAGAGGAGCTGCCCTTGCGCAATAGGTGTTCTCTTTCTCCGTTAGCACCAGTGCCTCTAATAGTTTGGACACTCTATGCAGGAAAATCAGGGATTTCGGACTCACAGAGGGGACAGCTGTCTGTTGCACTCTGCAGATTTGTCTGAATCTTTGATCTACAGCAAGGCAAAATGCGAGGACTTTATGTGGTTTTCCTCATTTTCATCTTTGTCTGCTGCATCAGGGGTGAGTGCTGTTACTAGTCAGTCTATTTATTAGAGTTATTTCATGTTGATCTTCAGCCTCATTTTGTTGTTCAAAGTCTTTCTGTCCTGTTGTTCATGTTGGACATTATTAAAAGTGATTTATCTAAATATTGTAAAAGCTTTTCAGTTTTGCCTTGACATTTCTTTTTAATAATAAATACGAAAAGAAATGAATTAAATAACTGTGTCCTCATAAAGCATACACATGCATGAAGTATAACACTAAATTCTCCACTAAAAGAGCTAAATGCATATCCCTCTTCTGGGCCTGGTTCCTTTGTACCGTCCTCCAGCTAAGAAGATGCGATGGTGCACAGTGTCGGATCCTGAGCAGAGGAAGTGTGCAGAACTAGCCAAAGCTCTGGTGGCGGTGCTGCCACCAGCTGCCGTGGCTGCTTTTGCCAGACTCTCCTGCATACGAGCGTCCAGCACGGCCGACTGCATCGATAGAATCAAGGTGAACCATTTTAACACTGTTTTAAATCTGGGAGAGATCTGATGTAAACGTCTGCGTGGGCTGAATAAGTCAGTTTTAACTACATATGAGGCAATGTTTGCACGCTTGAATACATTTATGAAATGCATTCTGAAATAAAATGTGAATTTAACTGTTGAAAATAGATACATGTTGAAATTAAATGGAAACACTCAGTTCTTAAAGTACGCAGCAACACACAAAAAAGTCCTTGATAAAAATATAGACAAACTTGAAGGAAGCTGCTCAGTCAGAGGGTGTCAGAGGTTGAACAAGGACCTATAAAAACCAGGAAGTAAAGGTGATTGAGATTTACTGTTTCCTTTAAGACCTCCTTCATAAAGCTGTTAAAGCTGTGCTGTAACTTTCATTATAAACCACAGTGACCTGAAGTCATCCCTCACCTGGCGCTTTCACTGTCACTTTGATTCATGGAAATCTGTGGGAGTTAATGGGCCATTATCCGTGTGAGTTAGGGGTGATATCATATACCTGGGGCTCCCCATAACTCAGAAGCCTTTTTAGACGGGAGGTGAAATATCTTCAAGAACCAAAAAGAGAAGTCAAACTGCTAGAGCACCACAGATTCCAATAACCAGGATGACTGAGAATCAGACAAATCACCAAACTTATCAGTGTCGATATTAAAACCACCCACAGGCTGGAATCAAAATACAACTTAAAACATTATTTAGACAACATTATGTAATATTTGGTCACACTCTAAGGTGGAATTGGATGAAAAATTTAGCTCTGAAGATGAATTACGACTGGTTGTTTGTTAGAAACTGACCAACATGTTTCCTCCCACTTATTGGTCATCAAGGAGATCGACAACCAAACTGAAAATAGTTGGTTAAAATGCCTTTATTTATGTTTTACTTTTGTTTGATTAAAAGACAACTTTTTGAAATGTATTCCTCAGTGTTGATTGGCTATTGCTCACAGCATGTAACCAATCAGATAGCGGTGTGGGCGGGACGTTGTGTGAGAACACAGACTTCAGATAAACAGAGGCAGCTGCATTAGATCTAAAGTAGAGCATTTAAATTGAATTTATTTTAGGAAAAGCAAGGCAGGTTTATTTGAATAGCACAATTCGCTTCACACTAAATTATAAGAAGACAGATAAAGTCAATCCACAAACACAGTCATTAATTAATTATATTAAAAGCAAAAAGGCAGATAAAATCAATCCAAAAAGACATAAATATAATCATTAATTAGAAGAGTTGTCATATGCACAACTAAATAGAACTGTTTTCAGCCTGGATTTGTCAGAGTTGAGGTCTGTCTCACATCTTCTGAAAGACAGTTCCAGATGTTAGCTGCATGAAACTGGAACGCATTTTATCAGCTGATTGGAAAAATATATGAAATAAAATCCTCCTATTGTATATTTGCTCTGTACCACTGAGAGAAAAGTTGTAGATTTTTCTTTAAATTAACCTAAAATTAATGATTCTGTCCAGGGTTCTGTCCCAGCAAACACAATCGAGCTTGTAAATGTTTTTTATTAAAGCATCTCGGTGAATTTAAATGCTAAACTTCTCACATTGAACCTCCAACCCCATAAGAGCTTCACTGCTTGGTCTCTTTCAGGAGGACGATGTAAGGTTACAACTCACCCTCTGAACTCTTTGTTTCAGGCTAATCGCGCCGATATAGTGACTTTGGATGCAGGAGAAGTTTATTCTGCCGTGAAGCAGTTCGACCTTGTTGCCATCGCCAAGGAGATATACAGTGACGGTGGGTTTGCCTTTCATTTCTGAGAAACTTCAGCGTGTCTCTTGAGCACTGAGGTCTGTGAATGTTTCTCTGCAGGAGGCTGTATTCTGTCTGTGGCTGTGGTGAGAAACAGCAGCTTGGACATACGATCCCTGCAGGGCCTCAAGAGCTGTCACAGCGGGGTTCGATGGACGGCAGGATGGAGTCTTCCGCTCGGCTTCCTGCTGTCCAGGAACTACCTGAGCTGGTCAAAGGAGCAGCCGCTAAGTCAGGGTGATGAGAAAGTTCCTGTGGAAAACAATGCAGCTTCATCTTTCCATTTCCTCACTTCTGATCAAGTTTCTGACTTGTTTTTCTTCTCTCTGGCAGATGTTAGTACCTTTTTCAGTGCCAGCTGTGTTCCTGGAGCTGCTGCCATGGCGCCTCCTCTGTGCAGCCTGTGCCAAGGCCAGAAGTCGTACATCCGCCAGAAGAATTACCACTGCGAAACGTCCCACAGCGAGCCCTTCTACAACAGCCAGGGAGCCCTCAGGTCGGACATGTTTCATGTATTTCCAACATGTGCCGTGGTAGTAAAAACATCTGCAAATTGCCTCTATTGTTGCCCCTTTTGCTCTGCCACAGATGTCTCAGGAGGGGGGCAGGAGATGTGGCATTCGTGGACCATTTGGCCCTTGAGAGCATCGATGGTGAGCAGTGTAGTCTGATGCTGTAATGTCTTGTTCCAGTTACTCCGTGGCAATAAATAGACTGATCTGGAGAACCCTGGTGGCTTAAGTGGTTTAAGACACTGGTAATGATCATCCCACATATTCCTCTCTTCATGTTTCCTGCTGAACTATCATAAAGGCAAAAATGCACAAAATATACTATAAATGAGAAAAAAACTCACAAACAAACCAAAAGAAAAACAGTGCTCTCCAAAACTAGCTTAACAATAGAGTGAAATTTGTGTTTTTGCCACTTTTGGGTTCAAAATTTAAGATCAAAACATGACAATAAGCCAAATAATGA